TCGTTCTCCCCCTTTTTTAAAAAAAAGATCTGCCTCCTTCTGACCCACAGGATATTCTTTTCAGATTATTCATTTTAATTGCATGGACTCTGCAGCTCCTCCTGCACGTACTACAATTTGGACAAGGCCACTCTGCAAACAAACAAGCCATCAGAGGAGACGCTGCTGAAAGTTCATGCTAAGAATAGACAAGTGACTTGAAGAGAAGAGTTCAGCTATGTGACCCCTCCGCCCCCCGTTCGGAAGCTGGACACCAGAGCCAGACCTGCAGCCTGCTGCCTTTCCTTTCTTCCTGCCTCCCGAGTGTGCAGTTTGTATGGGGGGGGCGGGATGACCCCCCAGAGCACAGAAAGATTCTCAAGGTCTGTTCCCAGCCTGAGAATCACGCTTGGAAATGATCGGATGCTGGAAACGCCCCTGGGGACAAGATCGGCCAAACAGTCAAACTTGAGCTCAGTAACTAGATAACTAAGACTGCAATCCCATCCACACTTACCTGGGAGAAAGTCCCGCTGAAATCAGTGTGACTTAATAGCTTGGGATCATAAGGAGTTTTGCTTGGGCAAATATGCTGGGCCACTTTTATTAAGCCCTGAATTCACTCCTCTACTAACAGCAAGTTAGGGTTCATCCACATTTTCGCTTGACGCATATTGTATTGCGTACCAATTGATTCCCCAGGGTATGAGACCTTTTCTCATTGTTCTTCAGCTGTGCCTTGCAAAAATCTGATCTTACCTGCTGAATGGAATCTTGGTTAAGACTTTTCTGTGCATCGGCAGGTGACATACGATTTTCACAAGGCACAGCCACAGAACAACGAGAAAAGCTCTTGAATCTGGGGCATAATTAATTGGTATACAATAATGATCAAAATATGGGTGAAGCGAAAGTGTGGATGACCCCTTAGTGAGGATGGACAAGGGCAGGGAGAGAGAAACAACTACAGTGGTACCTCGGGTTACATACGCTTCAGGTTACAGACTCCGCTAACCCAGAAATAGTGCTTCAGGTTAAGAACTTTGCTTCAGGATGAGAACAGAAATCGTGCTCCGGCGCGCAGCGGCAGCAGGAGGCCCCATTAGCTAAAGTGGTGCTTCAGGTTAAGAACAGTTTCAGGTTAAGTACGGACCTCCGGAACGAATTAAGTACTTAACCCGAGGTACCAGTGTACGAGACTTTTAGAAGATTTCTGAAGGCAGCCTTGTTTAGGGAAGCTTTAAATTTTTAGTAGGTTATTGTATTTTAATATTCTTTTGGAAGCCGCCCAGAGTGGCTGGGGAAACCCAGACAGATGGGGGGGGTATAAATAAATTATTATTATTATTATTATTATTATTATTATTATTATTATTATTATTAACGCAGTGGCCTCCAGATGTTGCTGGCAATACAACTGCCACCAGCTCTCACCAGCCTATGGCCAAGGATGGATGAGACTTGTTGTCCACCACGTTGGCTACCCTGGACTTGAGGGCCACGTCTCTCCCCACCCCCCTGCTGCTGAGCTGCTTGTACATGAGAAGGTTTCTCTCTTCATCCTTTTCCAGGGTGTGCCTGCCTACGACAGAAGCCACCAGTACTGTTTGAAAAGCAACTCCCTCTGTGAGAGCTGATCCCATGAGGGCTTGTAAGGAACAACAGGAACACAATGAGAAGCTGCCTTGCTGCCTCTCCTGATTTGCAGAGGAGTCTGTGGGTCTCTTTCAGGGGTCAGAATGCTAATAGCTGTTTTCCTCTTAGTCTGGTTAAGTGGATGAGCAGGAGTGAGCTTCTCTCCAGAGCCGGCCCTACTATTGGACAAAGTAAGGTGACTGCTTCAGGTGGCAGGTGCTTGGCGGGGGGCAGTAGCCCCCTTGCTCTTCTGGTCATTTCCCTGTGTTGGAGGACAGAGATGCGTTAGATCAAATGACTTTCCTCTCCTGAAAGTTTAGGAACCCTCTCATGGTTACCCCATCAAACTGCCCTCTTTTTATGCTTTATACTGTGGCAACAGAGGAACTAAAGCTTCCAATTCGAAGTCATGCTAGAAGAGGAGATTACTCGCAGATTTTTTTTTAAAAAAAACTTCAATTAAAGTTAAATATTACTCATTCTTCCTCCGACACAGTTTTATTCAGGAGGCTTAATATTTAACTTGAAGAGCTTGTCAATAGCAGGCCCAAAGTTGCACTGTCCATCATGTAAAGAAAACAGGAAATCCTATACATAGAAACATCCTATATTTTACCTTGTCAAACAAATAAAATACATGTGTTTATTTAATAACCTTCTCCAGAAACAGAAGTAGTTACTGGCACGTGGGAATAACAAGGTTTGGATTAGCCATTGCAAACCGGGTTCCTTTGAGATGTTTAGAACTATGACTCCCAGCAGGCATGGGCTGATGGGAGTTGTAGTCCTAAACATCTGGAGGGCACCCAGTTGGCATAGGGTGGTTTAAATGGTAGCTTCTCCTTGTACTTACTACAGGGACTACCCTTTATTCACAGCCAATGTTCCTGTCTAAGATCCGTGTCTAAAAGGGAGACTGCTTTTGTACAATGGCTCTTCACTGTGTTTGATCGGTCCCTTTGTTTGGAAGATTGATTCCTGTTCACTCTAGGATGATTTTCCAGTGATAACCGGGCACTCAAAAACCAACTTCTGAAAGCATGGTTAATCATTATGGCTGCTGGCGCTTGTAACGTGTCATAGCGCCGTTAAAGATAAGGTTCACGTAATGGCAAACATGACCTTGTATGGAAAACTTGTCTTGTTTTCACCCTGATTTGCCTTGGTAAAAATGTTATTAAAAAGGACCTTTCCTGTCAGCATCGGAGATATTTTGAAGTCGGGGTTATGACATAAAAAAATACCACCAAATTAGAGTAGATCTACTAAAGGTAACAGAGTTTTACTTCAACTCCCGCCAAACACAGCATTATACAACCATATTGATATGTTGTCGCCCGAGGAGACCATTGTAAACAAATCAAAACATAGGTTGGACTCTAAGAATCACTTGTAAAGTAAAGAAGTATATGGATAATTAAGAAAAATTGAAATTATGGAAAATGTACTGATATGTAAATTTGGAGGGAAATTGCTAATAGGATCCATGTGAGGGATGGGGGGGAAGTAAAGAGATTCAGAGAATCTCATGAAATGATTATAATTGGTTGTAAAAGTTTATGTGTAAAAACCAATAAAAAATATCCCCCCCCCAAAAAAGGTATGTTGTCGCCCAAAATATCTGAAATGCACCAGGTTGTGGGTAGATGGCTCTGAACAAAGCATCGCACTGCCCCTCCCAAAACACTCTGCCAATGGCAATTTGGGTTTTCTACAGATTGCTGTTTGCTCCAAATCAGTGATAAAGAGTAGGTTTTTGCGGGGATGGCACTGGAGTAAAGAAAAGGCACTTGGATGCGGCACTTTAAAGCGCAGATCTGACCTTAAAACCGTGCTACAAAAGGAAGTCTGGATAAGCCCCAAGGCAATCAAGCAGAAATAAGAGCCAAAAAGCTTAGGAGTACGTCATAGGAGTGCGTCATAGGAGTACCAGACACTTAAAGCACTTTTAAAGCTCATGGCATCCTTAGCAAACTACAGTTCCCAGGATTATTTAGGGTGAATCCATGTGCTTTAAATGAATGCTGAATGCATGGTGTGTATGTGACCTTAGAAGGGAGGGAGGCAGGCAGGCCACACATTCATATCATATTTAAAGCACTATGACAACACTTTAAACAGCCATTGCTCCCCGCAAAGAATCCTGGGAGCTGCAGTTTGTTAAGGGTGCTGAGAGTCGTTATGAGACCTTTTCTTCCCCTTACAGAGGTGCAGTTTCCAGACTGGTTTAACAATCAATCGCTAGGGAACTCTGGGAGTTTTTGGATCTGGGCAGAGATTGGAGAGTCTCCTAACAACTCACAGCACCCTTAACAAACTACAGCTCCCAGGATTCTTTGGAGGGGGAGCCATGATGGTTTGAAGTAGTATGTATTTTATTAAATTATTTCATAAAAATTATACACCGTTTGATTGTAGAAAAACCTCCAAGCAGTTTACAAAAAAGATAAAACAGGGAAATCAGGGAAATTTTACGATACATGCAGAAGTCCTTAACTCACAGAGGATTTGAGACCCATCGGTTACCCTCACCTGGTTTAGCCGGCTGGTCAAAGCTGTCTCCCAGAGCATGGCTTGTGTTGCATGCTGACAGCTTCTCGGAGCCACAGGTGAGAGCTGAGGGCAGGGTGGAGACCAAAGGTGGTCAAACAGCCCCAGGAGGAGCACAATGTGTCCCCCACCAGGGGTTTTATGCTCAGTTTTTGTATCCCAAAATTGGGGGTTGTCTTATACGCAGATGCTGAATTCCCAGGGGCGAGTTGCAGTTTGTTCGCCCCCAAAAAACTTTGAGGTCATTTGCCCCACCAAAAAACTGATTTCTAAATTTTGGCTTTAAAAAAGTAGGGGTCGTCTTATACATGGGGTCGTCTTATACACTGGAAAATACAGTACTATCCCCTCCCCCTAACACCTCACTTTAACATAGGCGTAGCCAGGATTTATGGGGGGGGGGGAGACACCCACCTTGGCTCTGTCTAGCAGATTTGGAATGAAAACAGTTGCTTTAAATTACCTTCTTTTAACCCCAGGTGCTCAGGAAAAAAAATCTGTCAACATCTTTCTACGATTTCTACTTTTAGTTAAGTATTTTTATCTATTTGCCTAATTTAGGGGGTGGAAACTACACACAGATACACACTGCGTCCGTCCGTCCGTCCCCCCCCCCCCCCGGCTTCGCCCATGCACCTTATATATATAGTGTCAATCAGACACAATCTCCCCTCTTTCCTCTTAGCCGGCCGCACATGTTTATTTCAATTTTAAACTTGACGGAGGGTGGGAAGACCCAAGCCCGACTCTGATTGGAGAGCCGCGTCGCCTTTCCACCAATCACGACCGAGCGCGCGCGCCCGGGGGGTCCTCCTGCCCCTCCCCTCAGAGGCGGAGTCCAGCTGTTCGGACGGGCCAACGGTCACTCCGTGTCCGACGGACTGACCGCTTGCCGTCCGGAGTCCCTCCGTCTTCCCTCGTCCCAGCGCGGAGTCTCTCGGCGAGGATGGCGGCCGGCCTGGACTCTCTGGAGGAGTGCCTGGAGCGGCACCTGCCACCCGCCGAGCTGGCCGAAGCGAAGCGGATTCTTTACGGGGAGGCTGTCAGGTGCGCCGGGACTACAAATCCCAGCAGGCTCTGCGTCAGCTCGGGAGAGGAGGGGGAGAATGAGCCCCCCCTCCCGTCTCAGCCTTCTTCCACCTGGCGCCCTCCAACTGTTTTGGATGCGGGACTGTTGGGAGTTGTAGTCTAAAACATAAGGAGGGCACCTGGTTGAACCCTATTTTGGGGGGGAGGCAGATACCTTCTCCCCTTAACAAGTGTGTGGCAGGCAGAAATGAAACAGGTTAAGCTTTCCCCCTGCAGTTGTTGGGAGGGGGAAAGACTGTCTGTGGATTCCTGCTTGTTGCACAGATGGAGAAGGCATATTCACACACCCCAAATTATAAGGACGACCCCCACCCCTTCCCCACTGCCTCTTGGGACTTGGCAGCAGTCAGTTGGATTGTTGGCCATTTTAGGATTTGACATCAGAGCAGGGAAAGGATGGGCAAGTGTGGCCAAATTCCCAAAAGCCTCTGATTCTTTTCAAGGCAGCTGGCAAAGTTGGACTCCCTGCTCCCATCAACCACAGGATCCTCATTGTAGGCCAGCCCTGTTGGCTGGAGCTGATGGGAGTTGCAGCCGAAAACAGCTAGCAGGAACCAGGTTGGGGGGCAGGGGCTGCTGATCTAGGATTTGGAGGAGGAGGGTGCTCATGGGTGAATGAGCTTCCCTCAGGATGATCTGTTTTGGTTTTTTAAAGGTGACATGACAAAGGCAACCCCGTTTTTAAAAATGATTAAATTGGAAGGCTTTCCGCATGCTGAAAAGGGCTGAGAGGCTATCAAGCCTAACTCCCCATTGTAAGGCCCATACGTGAACCCACATGCAGCCCCCCTCAGCCAGAGGCTTCAACAGAGTCAGCTGCCTGCAGAGCAAAGGGCTTGCAGAAGTGGCCTTAGAAATTTATCCAGTAATATACGGTATCTTAGAACAGCAATTCCAAATGTTGGTTCACAAGCCGATTACCAAGCCTCTGCCTCTAGGTTCTGTCATGATGTGTTGCATAAGGAATGTATGTGTATGTGATGTCCGGATCAAGAGAGAGGCCCATCAGAAGGCTATCATGGCAGAGTAGAAATGCTGTACTGCGTTTAAGTTCTCCTGAGATGAAATATTTGAGGTTAGTTTGATGGGATGGCTTGCTTGTCGTACAGAGAACCTGCCCACGACAGTTTGCATCTAATGGAATTTGAGTAAACCAGCCTGTCCAGAGCGTTGTTCCAAAACAGTTTTGTGTGACCCCACTAATTGCTGAACAGAGTGACTTGCTCAAGATTATATAAGAAGTGTGGGATGGGGAAGGTCTTAACCTTTAACCTTCCTTCTCCTCCATCCCTAAATATTTCTTGGCTGCCAAGGTGCATTGACCTGATATAAATAGCAGATATATAAACCTGCCATATTGCTGTTTGTTATTTTGTACAGGACCAGAGGAAGATTGTTGTATTTTTGTGTTCTTACTTTTCCAGGCAACTGGATTTGCCGTCTGCTGCTTTGTCCGCTGCTACAGAAAGGGAGTTTGACCTACAGGGTTATGGATTTGGAGCTGAACCAGAGCAGTTGAGGCCCCCGCGTATTGTCAGGGTGGGGCTGATTCAGAATAAGATCCAACTTCCTACAGATGCACCGGTTGCTGAACAGGTACCACTGAAGCTTGTAAAGGAAGTTCCTGCATGTTTCCAATTGCTGGCTCTTGTCTTTCCAAAGGGAGAGCAGCCCCAGCTTCTTTGTACCATTATGCTTTGTCAAAGACTCAAATCTTTTGTGTTGGCCATATTGTGGGGTAGGAGAGCTGGAAAATCACATGTAGCAAGCAATGTGCCCCTTTAGTTTCAGATAGTACATTGGTAAACAAGTCTAAAAAGCCCAGGACACAAATGTTAATGGCCCTCTAACAGCTGTGGTGGCTCATTTACCAGAAGTAATGTTTTTGCGTTAACTCTGGAAGTATATACAGTCAAACGTTGGTTCCTGAACACCTTAGTTGCTGAACAAATCGGCTCCCGAATTCTGCAAACCCGGAAGTAAGTGTTCCAGTTTGTGAATGTTTTTCAGAAGCCGAACGTCTGACACGGCTTCTGCTTGGGTGCAGGAAGTTCCTGCAGCCAATTCGAAGCCGTGCCTTGGTTTTTGAACAGTTTTGGCCGTCAAATGGATTCCTGGAATGGATTAAGTTCGATAACCAAGGCACCACTGTACTTGATTCTGACCAAACTAAGACTCCTAGAGGGCCATGAAAATTGGTGTCCCTGGTTTTTTTAGGCTCATCTACCCATGTACTAAGGAACGTGGGTGGCGCTGTGGGTTAAACCACAGTGCCTAGGGCTTGCCGATCAGAAGGTCAGTGATTTGAATCCCCGCAACGGGGTGAGCTCCCATTGCTTGGTCTCTGCTCCTGCAAACCTAGCAGTTCGAAAGCACAAAGTGCAAGTAGATAAATAGATACCGCTCCAGTGGGAAGGTAAATGGCGTTTCCGTGCACTGCTCTGGTTCGCCAGAAGTGGCTTAGTCATGCTGGCCACATGACCCAGAAGCTGTACGCTGGCTCCCTTGGCCAATAAAGCGAGATGAGGATCACAACCCCAGAGTCGTCCGCAACTGGACCTAATGGTCAGGGGTCCCTTTACCTTTTTTACCCATGTACTATCTGAAATCCAAGGGGTGCATTGTTTGCCAGATGTGAAATATATTGGCATTATTTTCAGCTCTCGTACCCCACTAATAAACCCATTTAATTGGCAAAGTTTCTTCACTCATCATTGTTAAAGCTGCTGCTTCCTACAGGCAGGGTTTCTTGTCAGCCCTTTTTCTCTCAGTATTTTGTACATGGTTGAGCTTGGGAGGCAAAATGAGAGTAAAGGTAGTTTATTTAAATGACCTTTACAGCTGACCTTCTCCCTAGGTAACTGCACTACACAAGCGCATAGAAGAAATTGTGGAGGTTGCAGCAATGTGCGGGGTCAATGTCATCTGTTTCCAAGAGGTCTGGAGTGAGTAGTGTTTTGTTCTGCCTATTTAAATCCTCTCTGCTGCTATAAAAGTCAATCTCAGTTGCGTGCGACTCTTGAATAAAGTCAGAGCAGAAACCAGACTCAAACAGAAAGGTGTTGGTGAGCAAGCTACATTCTCTGGGCACAACCCAGGACATCTTTTGTTTCTGTAAAATATTTATGCACGATTCCTAATAAATATCCACTGTGGCTAACAACATCTCCATTAAAAACCATCAAAACATTAAAAATTCAGTTATGAAACCTAAAAAGTGAGATTAAACGATCTGTAAAAGTAGCGACAGATGATAAAAGTATAGTGGTACCTCGGGTTACAGACGCTTCAGGTTACAGACACCGCTAACTCAGAAATAGTACCTCGGGTTAAGAACTTTGCTTCAGGATGAGAACAGAAATCACGGCGCAGCAGCAGCGGGAGGCCCCATTAGCTAAAGTGGTGCTTCAGGTTAAGAACAGTTTCAGGTTAAGAACGGACCTCCAGAATGAATTAAGTTCTTAACCCGAGGTACCACTGTATTACAGTTAGGAGCTCATATCAATAGCACAAAATAGTATGAGAAGGGCAGGCCCACCTCAAAACCAGATCTCTGTCACATGCGGAAGTATCTTATGGGAGTGACAGGGTGAACTTCTCACATTTCTTATGATGCTCTTTTTGTAGCGATGCCTTTTGCTTTCTGTACACGAGAGAGGCTTCCTTGGACAGAATTTGCAGAATCAGCAGAGAGCGGCCCAACGGCAAGGTTTTGCCAAGAGGTAAAGAGCCAGATTCCTGTCCTGCCTTTTTACAAACCTCCTCTGCACCACTGTGTCAAAACAGTCTGTGTGCATTTGGACTGTCCTTTCCACCCTGCATGCAAACTTCCAAGAGTGTGGGCATTTTTCTAGAGCTGGGCCCGGCAACCACATTTGTAACCCAGGGCTGCAACCCTGGGCAGTGAAGCTTCTTCAGTTGCATTTACCCTGCATGTTTATTCAGAAGTAGCTGTTATTCATTTATTAATTACATGGTGCACAATCATATCAAGGCAATGTACAATAAAATGGCAAAGAAAGTTACAAACATGGACAACAGAGATATTTAAAATAAAAACAATACAGAATGGACACTCAGGACACAGACATTGTGAAGCAGCCTATCCACCCCTGTGGTTTTGCTTTCATGTGGCTCCTGGTCATTTCAAGGAGGCTTGCCTTGGAGAACATCTTAGTGGATTGGGCCCCGCTGATAAGTAGTGAGTGAGCTGTGCCATTGGTAGGGATTGCAGGTAGATGTGTCTACAGAGGACTTTTGGGAAGTACAACTTCAGTTCTTTTGCTTTTCAGCAAATGCCTGACTTTCTCCTTTTTTTGGCAAAGAGACGAGTGTTTGTTGTTTTCCCCTTCGTCTGAAATGATTTCCCAACCGTCTGTTTCTTGTTGATCCTGAAGGGAGCGGAGTGGCTTGCTGTGTATCCCTTTCCATCCTGCTGCCTTCAGTTTAGCACAGGTCAAGCACGAAGTGATTGTAAATGCCAGATTAATTGCATCTTGGTGGATGTTGTTGTGGTTAACATTCAAGCATATGGGAAAGTAAAATGCCATAAGGGGAAGGAAGAGAAAACATAATTGGATCAAAGGAGACATGACTTATCAGTACTGAGACATAATGCAAAATACACTCTTCAGGGACCAAGGGTAATAGGAGACAAGCTGTTATATCTTCGCTCTAACTTCTCTGGGCAAGACAGTTCCCAGATTCCTTTTTAATGATCTTATGGGACACGTTTCCCAGGAAAGGCCAAGGCTTGGATCTGGAAAAGGTCAAGAGGAGTTTGCGGTTCCCCCCAAAATGCTGGCACTGAAGGGTAGTCCATGGAGGCCTCTAGAGCAGCCTGGGGTGGGGGATGCTCTCGTCAAGACCAGAGGTTGTTTCCTCAAGGTACTTGGAGCATGGATCTGGGAAGGGAGCAGCACTTATGAGTCAAAACCTCCACTGTTACGGACAGAAGTGGCTTTGCGGGGAATTCAGTGGTTTCTGGAGTTACTGAGGAATCATTTCTTCCTTTTTTATGAATAATACTGTTATTAGATTGGGCATAAATAGGATCTGATTCAGAGAGTGCTTTGCATTGCCACCCATGACAGTAGGAAGAAGTTTCTGGCAGTAAGAGCCATTTGACCGTGAAATAGACTACCTCGGAAGATGGCGGCTCTTCTTCATTGAAGGTGTTCAAGCAGAGGCTGGATGGCTACCTGTTAGGGATTCTTTAGCTGCGATCATTGCAGGGGATTGGATCAGATGACCATTCCATCTCCATAATCCTTTGATTTTTTGACCTCACTCTGTTTTAGCTATTCAGTCAGAATCTTCTGTGGGCATTTTTTTCTTTTCTCTTGGTCTTGCAGGCCTCTTGCCAACTGGCAGATCTCTTGTGAAAACCTAATCAAAAGTCTTTTTATACTGTTCTGCTGTTTCATCCTGCTTTTCTGATATTTGATGTTACTATTTATTTTTTATTGTCCCAACTGTTCTGATTCGGTAAGTTGTTCCAAGATCGTTTGCTGAAACGCCGCTAGTACATTTAATAAAATGTGGCATCATTTCCATCACGGCTGCAGCTGGCCAGGAAGCACAACATGGTGGTGGTGTCTCCAATCCTGGAAAGAGATACTGCACATGGGGAGACCTTGTGGAACACAGCGGTGGTGATTTCAAACACGGGTGCTGTGCTGGGCAAGTCTAGGAAGAATCACATCCCAAGGATTGGAGACTTCAATGAGGTGAGTGGTAGCTGTTGCATATGGGGAAACAGAGCACTCTTGCTAATTCAGGAACAAATTCCTCCAGGAGCAGCTTTTGCAGGGCGGGGTGGGGTTGTCATGCACACATCCAAATCAAGCGAGCATACAAAAAAATACGAGTGTCCTTGTACTTCTGGTTTCACTTTGAGGGTCCCTGGCTCCGTGTGTCTGGTTTTCAGGCTGAGGCTCCCAAATTGTTTGTTTCCTGGCACCAAGGAGCAACTCATAGGAAAGAAATCCTGTCTGAAACCCTGGCAAGCTGTTGCTGTCAGTCAGTGTAGACAATATTGAGCTAGATGGATCAAGGGTCTGACTTGGAAGAAGGGAGCTTCCTAGGTTCTCCTTGTATCTAATACTGCTTAAACCTGTTTGGTATTTGGGGATACTTCCTTTAGCTTGATCACCACAGATATGCCCAGCTCTCGTCATGTCTTCTGCTGCGAGATTTCTATTAAGGCAGCTGGTGTTTTGGACTCCAGGGATCTCATTCAAGTGTAAGTCTGTGTGTTTTGCAGTCAACATACTACATGGAGGGGGACATGGGGCACCCGGTGTTCCAGACTCAGTTTGGGAAGATTGCCGTAAACATTTGCTATGGGCGACATCATCCCCTCAATTGGCTCATGTACAGTCTGAATGGAGCAGAGATCATCTTTAATCCTTCTGCCACTATTGGGAAACTCAGGTACCATTTGGAATCTTGCTTATTTGCTGCAGAAAGTGGTCTTAATTATGACCTGGTGTATGTGCAAGGCCATTACCTTTGATGAAACCCTCAGAAAATTTGGAAAGCTAAATTGCGGTCTTCTGGAGGAGTGCTCTGTTGTAGCCCTGCCTTATCTCTATGCACGGGCCAAATTGATAGGGTCCAAGCAAAGCACATGAAGCTGATGAGCTCTCCTAGCCGAAGGGTTGGCAACAAGGAAGACTACCTTGGAAGTCAGTAACTGGAAGTCTCAGATAGCTGATGTAAGACAGTGTGAGAGGGTAACAAGGGAGAAATAGGAGGGGACCACTCCTCCAAAGCCCTCAGTGCCCAATAGCCTTGTCCTGACTGTCACTCCATTGGGCACAGAAGGTTACAGTCAGGTAGCTGCTGCCGCTGCCGCTGCCCCAGAGTGACTGTAAATATTTTACGCTAAGAGCTCAAAGGGTTTAGCCATTAACTGAGCTGAGACAACAGACAGGCTCTGAAAGGGTGGGGGAGCTTTGGCGGGAGGGTAGAGGTTCAGCAAACCCTGCATAAAATGCCTCGCTAATGGGTGAGGAAAGAAAACAGTGGGAAATAAGAGACAGCTTCCAAAAAAGAGAAGAAAACAAGAAAGAGCCAGGAAAGAAAACAAGTCATATGGGTATCGGGTGTGTCTGGGCATTGAATCCTCTGTGGGATTGAAGCTGAACAGACAATGTGTGCACCACTCTCAGGACCTAGACTACTCCATTAGGAGCGCTGGCATTTGTGATCTAACCTGGCTTGAGAGCTTTGTTCCTCTTTGCAGCCAGAGCTGGACTGGCTATGGGCACTGCTGCCAGCGAAAAAGAAGATGGCCCCTGCCTGGGATGCCGGCCAGGTTCCAAGGTCCTCTTGCAGCCAGAGTTGCCATTTGCCAATGCAGGAGCCTGGGTCCCCTTGCCTGCCAAATGGAGGAGAAGGCTGTCTTGTCGGGAACACTGACTTGGTCAAGCAAGCCTGGCAGCTCTGCCCTTCTCTGTGGCCAGGCCTGGTGGTCTCTGTGGGGCAGATGCTTCTCTCCTCAGGGCCACATAAAGAGTTGAATAAAACATGCAATCTGGCTGCTCCTACATTAAAACAAAAGGTTCAGGGAGCTAGAGCTCTGTGAAGGCCCAGTTGCATAGGCCTCCTGCAGGACAGGAACTGGGGAGGAGTTGCATAGTCCTGCCTCTGAAACAAGACTCACCCCTCCCTGGATAACTTTCATTAGGAAGAAGGACTTTCTAAGTGATGGAGTGCAGCTGCAAGTTGGAGGCGTTTTGTTACAGGAGCTGTTCACTTGGATTGTGTCATGCCCAAAAGAGCATCACGAGGGAACAGGGCTAGCAAACATCTCCTCCTTTGTAAGGGGTTATTAGATTGTCATCCAATGGCGTCTGCTTAGCTTGGAGGCAAAGTTCAGGATATTCCTCATAATGTATGACTTTCTGCCCGAGCTAATGGAGAGGCTGAGAACCGGGTGTCCTGTTTGTTTAGCTGTTCTGTGTCTGTCGGAGGGTCACGATAACTGGGTGGATGTGAAACATTTAATTTTTACCAGGCAAAGAAAATAAGTGGGTGGCTTACGAAACTCACCACTTAAGGGTTGGCCAAAACATGCTGAACGATTTCTGGGACTCTTGTTTGTGATTGCTTCATGGGGGCCATTGTGACCATGCTTTTATTTCCAAAACTTATTTCTTTGCCCCACAGTTTTGTTTGTTCAAATATTTCTGTAACCCCATTCATATGTGATAAAAAGGTGTGGGGTGGGGTGGGGTGGTGGAATAAAATGATTATTCAGAAGAAAATGGCAGATAAGAAACCAGTGGCTAACAGGTGGGTTTTCAGCAAAGACCAGAATTCATGTGGTCCTAGGGCAGCACTTGCCTCACGACAGAGCAGAGGTAGTTCCACCAAGAGAGCACTACAAATACATCTCTTTTATTTGTATTTTGTGTAGGTTTGTTGTGGCCCTCTTATAATCAAAGTGAAGCAAGTTTGAAGCCCGATTTTAAGGTAGTCCAGGTTTTTCTCAGCTAATTTGAGGAGAGCTTTGGGGAGCTTGCCCAACAGCCACCCCTAGTTGATAGTTATTTCAAAATCCACCTTGGGAGAGGATGGACTTTGCTTGGATTGTGCCCCACGTTATTTTAAAGGGCATGCTTAGGGCCATTAGAGAGGCAGGCGGAAGGTGAGTGTGTGACCTTTTGGAGGCATTTCCTGCTTTCTCAGGGTGGTTTTAGTGAGGCGGCATTATTGACTCTTTCCTTGGTTGCTTTATTGCTTTGTGAGAGTATAAACTAACTGGCAGGAACAGATTTCTTAGATCCCCTGCAGCAGACAATTTCTGCAAATGATACAAGCAAGCACTTGCTGCCCTCTCTTCCCTTCCCCACAACATGTCTGCATTTCCTGTTTCTCTTCCCTCTGCCCCCTGGTATCATTCGAATCAGGGCCTGTCCCCAGAAGCTGCTTATTGCCAAACTGGTCATTTTAGTGATTGCGCTACACCTTTAGAACTCCCTGCTGGAGATCTCCATTACCACCCTCCCCCCGCAGCCCGCTAGGAGTCCTTTATATCTTCGTCTTTCTTTCTTGCTACACATCCACTATAGAAGAGGACAGCGCAATCTGTTATCGTATTTGTCAGGTGGAGAGATGTAAGGTATCATAAACAACATTAGCTTCAATCTCCAGACGCTTGAATTGTTTTTCCAAATTGCCTCATGTTGGGCTGGAAATGTCCTTCTGCAGTCAGTCATATTCCTCTGAAAAATAAAGCTGCTCCATTCTACAAAAAAAAGTAGCTTTTTGAAAAGTAGGAATGAAAAGCAATACAATAAAATATGCAACAATACAAATTAAAACATAGAATCATGGAATTGTAGAGTTGGAGGCGACCCAAATGGTCATCTAGTCCAACCTCCTGCAATGCGGCATTGGTTAAAACAGATAAACAGATAGAGTGAAGGGAGAGTCTTGACAAAATAAGAAACTTCTTTAGAATCCATTTATATACACTAAAGGATTTGTGGCGTGGAAAGCACAGCAATCTAAATGAATCCCAAAGAGGTTCCCTGTCTCCCTGCCCCCCACAGGCATATTAAATAATTCACCCTTCTACGATAGTGCAAAATGGAAGACAATTTAGGGACTTGGAAGGGGAAAGGCTGTGCAGGAGTCAGGGAGCTGTGGAGGTGAGAGCTGCAGTTGCCAAAGCTGGGAAGCAGCCCCTGAGCGCTTCCTTTGAGCTGCCTGTCACAAGACGACATCGTGAAGAAGGTGGCCTGTTAAAAAGTGGTATTTCAGGTGATGTAAGAAAGGCTCTGAGTTCTGCATTCATGCCTCTTCCTTTATTATTTCCAGCGAATCCATGTGGCCCATTGAAGCGAGGAATGCAGCCATTGCGAACCACTGTTTCACCTGTGCCGTCAACCGGGTGGGAAGGGTGAGGCCTTTCAGCTCTCTGTGCTTTGAGATGCCACCAGTTAGGCTCCTGCTTGCTAAAAACAGAGCCCTGTGTGGAACTGTAGGGTGTAGCATCAAAATCCCCTTTTCAGCCATCTGCCCTGCCCCTCTAAGTGGCTTTTTAATGCTGCTCTCCCCCGTTCTGCATCTTCTCAGCTGCCCTGCTGGCTTTTCTTCCCCACAGCAAAGAAAGTGAGTAGGTTTGTGAAGGTGTTGCTGCTTTGGGATAGCCCAGTGTTGTCAGAAGGTTCTGAGTAGCCAGGAGATGTTGTCTGGAACTGTTCTCCCTCCCTACGTCTCTGGTGGGCCTTTGGCCACCTTGCTCCGGGAGCCAGCTCCTTGAAGGTGGTGAGGACATGCACACTTGCTTCCTGCTGTCACGGATCGGGAGAAGGCATCAGTAGAAGGTGAGGCTGCCAAAAGCCCTTCCTTCCCTGTTTCGTAAGGAGCGAAATAACCCCCATTCACAGATGGGATTTGCCTTTCATCCATCAAGGAAATCAATAGACTGAATGTGGAGACAGGCCGCTCTAGAGGATGCAAGCAATACTTTGCTTGAAAGCCAGACACAGCTGATTAGATTTAGAATGATAACAATGGCTTCTGTGTCTTGCATTGTTCATTTCGAGTTTTTCAGGGTGGGTGGGGAAGTGGAAGAGGCTGCCTGGTGCGAAGCAACAGTGCCATCTTCCTTTCATTTTGCACTCTTCTGCTGCCGTGAGGGTGGTTTGATGAATAATTCCTTCTGGGTGATGACTCTTCTGCTTCTTGCAGGAAGTTTATCCAAATCCTTTTACATCAGGAGATGGTGGAGAGGGTAGGTGCCTTTGTTTTCTTTTGTATGGAGAGTGATGCTTGTGGGGAGTCTCTTTTGCGTGGGGTGGTGATAGCATGCCAACGAGGATAGAGGTTCCTCCTTCCAATCTGGTTGTTCTTTTCTGTGGTGGGAAGAGGTTTGTCCAGCACCCTGGGAAGTTCTGAAATGGTTTGGGGAATAGGCCAAAAGGGCCAAAAAATTAACTCTTTAATGTTGAATTCTGCATTTATATCTAATAATGCGTTTGTTCTGAGGTCACTGAAGACAAGAATCAGAATAGACAAATAACAGATGCATTAGACAGTTGTCTTGAACATTGTGAAACTGTTTGTGAGCAAAAGGGTACATTTTAGGTACCTTTTGCTCAAACAGCAACTTGTTGCCCCCCTTTCCCCTTCAACTCAACAGGACAGCAAGCAGCTTTTGAAAGCTAAGGCCATTTGAGATGGCACAGAATGGGGAGGGAGCGGAGGGCAAGCCTCTTGGAGTCCCTGCAGTACCTCAAAGCCACCTATAGTTTCCATCCAGCCACACTGGCAAGTAACTGGGGAGCAAAAGGATGGGAGAGGCCAGTACAGCCTCTCCTTCCTGCTGGCCAAACTTCACTGTTCCTGGGAAATGTTTCCCTATCTGGCCTCCTCCTCCTGCCACCCTCTGGCTTTAACAAAAGGGATTTATGTTGTAATAAATTTGTTGGCCATCTCTTTGTTGCTTTTCTTTGCAAAGGAGGATCATAGGAAATCAGGGTGCAAATGTCAGATTGGTCTAGGGACCATGGGTGTAGCCAGGATTTTTTTAAGGGGGGGGGCAGGCATTTTGTTAGAGGGGAACAGAACCTCAGTTTGCTATGTATTTTTTGTTTTTATTGATTTAGCAGAGCAACTGCCCCTCCCTGCCCCCACTTTACACCCATGTTAAGGACACAAGAAGTGGTCTGCTACGGAATAAAGATCTTGGTCTATGTAGTTCAGTAATGTCTTCACTGCAGGGAGCTCCCTAGCACACCCCAACACAGCAGAATCACTTTCCCTTCACATCAGCTAAAGCCAGGGGTGGTAGTGGTCCTGCCTAATGCTGGGTTTGGTTGCTATGCATTTAAGCCCAGCACCAAGCGAGACCAGTCTCCCTTTTCATTGGCTGATGTGAAGGGAGAGTGATCCTACATAGCCCTGGGTTCTTGCTTTGCATGGTCCTTCAGAGGCTCCTGACAACCAGCTGGTTGGAAGCTGCACAAAGCAGGCTTTGGGCAAGTTTTGTCCTTTCTGTCAAGGTCTGCCCTTACCTGTATGATGCAGGTGTAGGGCAGGTGGGTATGGTTTGCCCCAAACAGTCAAGCTAGAGTAGGGCGGGGGGAACCTCTGGCCCACAAGCCTAACTGTTCCATCACCCTGGTTCCCATTTTGCTATATTCATTTTGTTTCTCTTGCTTCTTTGCTATTTATGAAGCCCATCGTGACTTTGGTCACTTTTATGGTTCAAGTTATGTGGCTGCTCCGGATGGGAGTCGGACCCCTGGCCTCTCCCGCACCCAGGATGGGCTTTTGGTGACGGAGATGGATCTAAATCTTTGCAGGCAAGTTGGGGACAAATGGAATTTTAAGGTAAGTCTTTTTTTCACTAAGCAAACCCTCTTGTTTCTATCTGATTTCCAGTAAGGCTGAATTCTGCTGGCATTCAGTTGAAATGCCAATTGGCTTCTACCTCTAAGTATATTCTGGAGGAGAGAGACTGTTCTGGAATGGTTTAAGATTTTTCTGGATCTGAGGCTGTGCAGTAAACAGCCCCTGAATTATACCAGGCTGCTGCATCTGACCCAAGGGAACCAGAAAGTTACCTTTAAAGTCTACACACTCTTTTGACATTAATGAAATGACCTCCTTTGGGGAGGGGTGTTGCGGGAGAGGGATAGTGCAGTATGTATATTTTACAGCATCTTTTATATGCACGTTTTAAACTCTCCCATTGAAAGTGGTAGGTGAAATTGCATAATGGACACCTACCTGCAATGTCTCCTGCATTTCACCAGCTTTCCTTGTTGGCGCAGTGAATGCCACACCCTGGGGAGCCAGTAACCACAAAAACGGCAGGTGTCTCTTGAAACAATGGTGGTCTTTATGCTCACATTAGCAAGGAAGTCTAGATTTCTTTGACAGGAATGTGACAATCTTGAAGCCGCTTAAGTGAAGATCTTGTTCCCTCTCTCCATCTGCAATTCTGTACCCACTCACCTCAAAGTATGCCCCGTCCATCTCAGTGAGGCTTGCCTCCGAGTAAATATTTTAAGATTCACTGGTTGCAAGCTTGAAGATCTCAAATAGTTTTCTGTAGCAGCTACCCTAATTGCTTATGATTTATTATTATTATTATTATTATTCCCATCAAATGTCAAAGAGATATGACTTTTAGAAGACATCTGAAGGCAGCCCCGTATAGAGAAGTTTTAAAAGTTTGATGTTTTATTGTATTTTTATATTTTGCTACAAGCCACCCAGAGTGGCTGGGCAACCCAGTCAGATGGCCAACATATAAATAATAAAATTATTATTATTACGAGTCAGAATTTCATCCTAGTAGGCAAAGATAGCTTTTCTTTTCAGCCATGAATGCAGGCTAGATAATATCGATGTCAGGGAACTGCCATCGGCTCAGAGGCGAGGAATAGAAGGGCAGTTGTGTTACAGGGAGCCTCCGAAAATCTTGCGAAGCAGTTCCTCTTCTGGGGAGGAGGAAAGTCCCACCTCAGGTGGGGAAAAGGTGCAAGGACCAGAGGATGCTTGTGGGAGCCTTAACACTGCTCCTGGGCAAGGCAGACAGGAGTGCCCAGGAGCAAAACATGCCCTTGCCATTGCCCATCCTGCACAGTGGCCTAAGGTGCAAAGAGAGGAGGAGAAGGTTGGGGGTAACGAAACTCTTATGTTGGGGGAGGTCCAAGAAAAGACCACTCCCGGATTCTGCTAGTGTTTGAGCCAGACATGAGCTTTGGGGCTCTTCACTATAAATAGTTTGCACCAAAATAAAAACCTGTAAAACACAGGTTTGGAGTCCTGCCTGGTTACTCTTGAGCAACTGCAACAGCCATCTGACAATTACTAACATTTTTGGCTTTTTTTGCAAAACTGTAGAAATGTATTCATTTATTTAAAAATGGGGCTTATGTTTGACTTGCCATTCTGAAGGTCTTTTGCAGTGACAGATGGCCAGTGGCAGGGAATACTGAAGTCCCTTTACGTTTTTTTCCAGATGACCGGGAGATACAAGATGTATGCCAAGGAACTGGCTGCAGTTGTCCAGCCTGACTTTGTTCCCAATGTAATCAAAGAGTAGCTTGCCTCTGCTGCTGCTCAGGAAGGTTGGGAGAGAAACATATTGTCCTTCACATGTGACATGGCAGCTCCCCCCCCCCCCCCCCAGATGTAGTGCCTCAAAACACATGGTCTGCCTTTTTAGGAGTACTTTGGATGGGATTCAAATAATTCCTTTGGGCCTGCCCACTGGGACTTTGGGCTTTCTTTGAACCATATCCATTCCCTCCCTGCCTCTCTTATAGCAGAAGTTGCTTGAGGAATGCACAACTGTTTGGCTGTGAGCCATTTTTTTATTTTTTTAAAAATATAGCTTCAACTACTTGATCACTTGGCGCAGTCATGAGGAAATGCTTTGATTCAGGAGTGTTTTAAGTCAGGTGTTTATGAGGGGGTGTGTTTCATACAGGTAGACAGATATGCAACAAAATTATACACCTTTCCTGTAAATGAATCAGAGGAGTGAATCACAATGAAACCATGTTTTGTATTCCATGGCTGTAAAAAGGCCCGAGAGCCAAGACCACAAGAAGAGTCCTGAAGCTGGAGCGGGCCAGAGGACCACGTAGTCTAGCTTTCTGTTCTCACAGTGGCCAAGTGAGAGAGTCACTTAATCTTCAGCTGCCCTGTTGCGTCAGTTGCAACAACAACAAAATCACCCCTTGTTTTCCCCTGCTAGAAACTAAGTTTACTCTTAAAAGAGAATTTTAGATTGTGAGTTCTTCTGGGCAGAGATCTGTGCTTTTCTGTTTTAAAGCGCTTGGCCCGTTGATGGAGCTGCTGTAATAATAATAAAAAAACAGTAGATTGGGAAACCTTGAAAATGTGGTTCTTTGCTTTTCCTCGCCTCCAGATGAGGCAGGTGCTTGAGGCTGAAGTGTGTGCTTTCAGTTCTCAGAGCTGAAACTCTGAAATTACCGTACTTATTCAGCATTTCCTTTTCAAAAATTATCAGCTTGCAATGGTCAGCAAAAAAAGTTGGCACACACTGTGCACTTGCATTAACCACTTAAAACCTTTATTGAGAGTGCCTCAATTACAAGCAAAATATATTTTGCATATAAAATTTCTCTGCAAGTAAAATATCCCTTTTGTTGTTATGGACAAGAATTATGCAGGCTGTTCTTCTGGATCAACTGGGTGAACCAGAAGAGGATGAGATTTGGGCCCATTTACTTGACTGGACCTGTTTCTACCCATCTGTAGCTTCCTTGGTTCTCATGGCTTTGGGCACCAAGAGAAAGGCTCCTTCCCTCTCATGCAGGGCCATGTGCCCTCTGCCAGCAAAGCTGCATTTCATCACCTTTTCTCTGCTTGGGATGTTCAGCCGCTCAGCCACAGCCAACCACCATTCACATCTCCAGAGGAAAAGCTAAAGCAGGTCTCTTAATGAAAGGGGAGTTGCCTGGGCTCTTCTGCTGTGGGAATCTGCAGAGAATCCATTGCTTGCTCTTTGCTTTGCTCTTTCTCTTGCTCTGCACATGGTCAGGCACTCAGTGGACTACAGAGATGCTGCACTGCAAGAGACTGTTTGCATCCCAGATAAATACAAGGCAAGCAGCTGGTTGCATGACACCCGTTAGCAACTGCCACATTCTTTGATTGCTTCCTCCTCCTTTGCAGTAGTTACCGGTAAGAATTTGTGAGGGCTTAATCTGGGGGCTTAATCTGAGACGCTTGAGAGTTCCATGGACTGCAAGAAGATCAAACATATCCATTCTGAAGGCAATCAGCCCTGAGTGCTCACTGGAAGGACAGATCCTGAAGCTGAGACTCCAATACTTTGGCCACCTCATGAGAAGAGAAGACTCCCTGGAAAAGACCCTGATGTTGGGAAAGATGGAGGGCACAAGGAGAAGGGGATGACAGAGGATGAGATGGTTGGATAGTGTTCTTGAAGCTACCAGCATGAGTTTGACCAAACTGCGGGAGGCAGTGGAAGACAGGAGTGCCTGGCGGGCTCTGGTCCATGGGGTCACGAAGAGTCGGACATGACTAAACGACTAAACAACAACAATCTGGGGGCAGGGACACAGCTCATCCATGTGCCAGCACCACCATTCCTGGGCACGTGCCTGTTTCAGAGTGTCCTATTCAAGATGGAAAAGTCAGGGAGGATTGTGTGTTTGTGCCTGCCTCCTCTGCAGTTTAAGCCCCTGTGCGTTCTTTTGAATGCTTGACTAGAGCGCCTGCCCCTGCACTCACACAGCCCTCCTATCTCAAGCCCACCCACTACAGAGGTGATAGATTTAACCCTACAAATCCTCTGTCTAAAATCTGAGTACGTTAAGAATCCACAGTAGCTCTACTGGCATATTTGGACAGGCATATATAAGTTCCTACAGCATTACAATCCTGTGGTGTAAAATGATACAGTGTCCTTATTTTTGACACTAATAGGTTTGTTTTTTTGCAGGATGGGCTTAGTCTACTTTATGATGACAGTTGTGACCTACAGGGCAGCATAGCTCTCAGCTGTCCCACTGCAAAAATGAGGGAGAGGGGGATCAGCTCTCCAAAGTTGGAATCATACAGTCATCTGTAATGGAGGTGCTGCACAAAGTCCCTAAGTGGCATAGAGAACTCTGGGTCCTGCCATAAGGAAAAGCCATTAATGCACAGACAGAAATGTCATGTTAATCTCTACTTCTGGTGCAACAGGATACTTGCTTTTGCAATAATTCAGAGCAGGTGTGGGGAGCCTGTGGCCCTCTAGATGTTGGACCACAGTCCCCAGAACATCTGGCCACAGTGGCTGGGCCTGATGGGAGCTGGAGGGCAACATCTGGAAGGCTGCAAGTCCTTTTGAGTGCTGCTCATCTCACTTTCAGCTCCTATTTAATGTATTTTAATGTATCCTATTTTAATGTAACTTCACCAATACTCAACTCCTTTAAAATGTTCTTGCTGGAGTTGAGAAATGACAGTCTCCCTCTCCGGCACATCTTTAACACATCACTCATAACTTTCTGCCCCGCAATAGGACCTCACAGTACTTTAAATGAAACACAAAGTGGATATTACAATATCAAAGTTTATTTTTGACCAGCAGGGAAGCCATGTACATCCCTGAGTTGAATCCAAAAACATGAGTGCAGTGTGATGAGGTAGAACAGTCTGGACTCCGGCTAGAATCGTCCTGAACTGCAGCCAAGAGAAATTTCCCTGCCTCCAATTATATAAACAGCAGTTCTGAGCCAAGCTGCTGGGTTGTCTTGGAAGTCCTCAAGCAATCTTCTTATCAACACAATCCCGGCCTCAAATTACAGCTTTCGAACATGTAACAAAGTTTCCCTCCCTAGCCAGACTTTGGAGTCATGCTGCTGCCAGCTGCACTTGCTTTAGCCAGTAGTTCAGGTCTGCTTTCTAGGGCCAAATGGATCTGACCCAAACATAGGTTTTTATCTTAAAACACTAGCCTTAAGCCTGAGGCTGTGAAGAGCTGTCACCAGTTCTCACTAGAGAGCGCTGGTGATGGAGGATACTCTGTGTTCAGAGTGTCTCCTGGCTGACAGCTGTTTGCAACTGATGTGTTAAACAAAGGTTAATTGTGCTGGATTGGGGTCAAAGTTATCAAGAGATTCTAACCAATCTTGTATTTTAAAACCTTTAATTTCTTTAGAGAGGACCTAGTACAATCACGATTTGGCAGCCCCTCACTAAAAAAGAACGCTCAACATGACAGCAATTAAACTGAGATTATCTGAAAACAAACTGATGGTATGCAAAGAACTGATTCATCCAACCACTTTGGAGGGTCTGCAGTTACAACTGCAATGCCTTTTAATTCCCTGCTTTCAGAAAGAACCACCTGACCTCATGAAAAAGGCCCTGGCTACCAGAAACCCTTTATGCATCAAAAGCAGCTGTGAGAATCCACACATTGTGGTTTGCAGGTGATGCTGGCATACATGTGTGGCCTACTTCCTCTTGTTGCTCCTTCCCCCAATATCCAATAATCCTAGGCTGTTTATGTTATTCTGTTCCCTGATTATTAGACACCCAAACTGGGTGAAAGATCAGCCCTTACAGTAAAGAAAGGAGGACTAACTCTTGTCCCTTTCTATGTTGAGCTTCTCTTGGGCGGGGGGAATTCATGAATTTGGCGTGGAAGTGAATACTAAGACTTTTGTTCCTGTCAAAAGGGGCCAACAGGAAAAGAAGTCCAAGTCCGCATTTGAAAACTTCTCAAAATGTGCAAATTTTAAAAATACACACATACATTTAAATATTACAGTCGCTATACACAAGCTATTTCCATCTTCATTATCATCATCAAAACTAAAAAGATGGCAACAGGACCGCCATGCTGCTCTCTGTAGGTTTAGAGACAGGGCAGGGCAGATTTCACGCTTGCAGGATCTACTTTTTATTTCCAAATAGAGCTTGGAGGCCCACCAACTGGAGCCAGATGTAAAAACCCACTCCTGGCCTTTTGAGTCTTTCACATTGCTGCGATTACAAAATTGGGAGTCTGACATCCTTCTTGATCTACTGCAACACACCCAGAGACCTAGGAGTAGATCCCAATCTAAAATGTATTTATTTCAGCCAATTTAGAGCCTGCCTTTCTGGATACATTCCCCCCCGCCAAGGTGGCTCATAACAAAACAATTTAATACCAGTTTAGATCCTAGTCTAAAGCATCCCTTCTTTGTGGTCCTGCTGCAGTGTGGGAGCAAAGTCTCTTGCAGCCCTGAGATAAGGCTGCTGCTGCTGTTGCAAGCTGGCCAGTGATGGACGTGGAAGCCCTGGCAGCTCCAATAGGTCAGCTGTCTCTGTAAACAAACAGGATGTCCTCATCGGTGCCATAACTGGTTCTGGCTTCCTCAAAGTTATTGATGCTGGTTCGGCATGTTCCTGTGGGGCAGGACCAAAATGGGCTCAGAAGGGGCCAAGGGGTTAAGGCTCTGTTGGAAGGAAGGCAGGGCCATTGATTCAACAGCCCCAACCCGCCCATCTCTCCCCCCCGCCCCCACGCAGTCATGGTCTTGCTGCAGAGACAAAAGACAAGACAGACCCACCTGGCATGGCTCATGTTCCTGAGGCACGAGCCAGGAAATGGTTAGGACAACACCAACCCAGAATATTGTACAATGTTGCAGAGAGGAACGAGCTAACATGCCAGAGTTGTCCGGTTACCACACTTCCCCTATTTGAAATAAAGGGTGGTGGCTACTCACGGTCAGCATAGGCAGGATTGTTGTAATAAATACTCCCTGAGGCTTTGCTGTAGCCACACAAGACAACGAAATGGCCCTGGTAATCAGGACTTCTGCAGAAGCACTTCTGGCCGGTTGGGAGAAAGCAACAATATTTGACCGGGTTGGAGCAGAGGTCACAGAGCAGCAGGACGGCGTTGACCAGCACAATGGCCACATGGCCTTGGGCAAGGTGATCCTGGATGTCCCGGACAGTCACTGTGCTGTGGAGGAGAACAGATGGAGAAGTCAGTCCACTGGGATCTCTTAGGGATATCTTAACAAGGAAGACGCCAACTCTATCAGGACTGGAGGTTTGGAACAGGTCACTAGGTCCAGAGCCCATTCGGACAGGATGGCTGCTTGCAACAGCCTTCCCCAACCTGCTGCTCTCCAATGTGTTGGATCTCATCATCCTACGGCTGGGGCTGATGCAAGTTGTAGCCCAAAGCATCTAGAGGAGACCCAGTTGGTAAAGGCCTCTGCATTAAAACAGCTGTGGCATCTGTAAAGAAGTCCATGGGATGGGGAGATAAACCTCGACCGAGAGAAAGAGAGCTCACCGTTTCTCTACCAGCACTTTACAGGCTTTGGATTGTGCAAACAGCTGGTTGACTCGGTTCTCCTCTGTGTCAAAGTGTTTCCTGTAGAACGACTGAAGGAGGAAGAGGACAAGCTTGGTCAGAACAGATTCCTCTCGGGGTAAGAAACCTAAGAACATAAGAAGAGGCCAGCTGGATCAGGCCAATGGCCCATCTGGTCCAGTATTCTGTTCTCACAGTGGCCAGCCAGATCCTGTAGGAAACCCACTAGCAGGGCCCAAGCACAAGAGCACTCCTGTGATTTCTAGCAATGTATTCAGAGTAATGCTGCCTGCCACACTGGAACAAAAGTACAGCCATCATGGCTAGTAGCCATGGATAACCCTCCTCCTTGAATTTGTCTAATCCTCTTCTAAAGTCATCTAGATTGGTGGCCACCAGTTTAACTATGTGCTGCATGGATAAGTTTTCTTTTTTTCTTTTCTCGGTCCTGAATCTTCCAACATTGGATGTCCACAGATTCTAGTGTTAGAGAGAGGAGAACTTTTCTCCATGCTATGCATAATTTTATAAAACTTCCATGGTGTTGCCTCTTACTCGCCTCTTTTCTAAACTAAAATGCTCCCAAAATGGCAATGTTCCTTCACTGGGTGGGTGGGAGGTGGGTGTTGCTCCACCTCATTGCTTGCCCTCTTCTGGACCTTTGCCAACTCTACAATATCCTTTTTGAGGTAAGTCGGCCAGAACTGTACACAGCAACCTAGAGAAAGGGCTGCCCAGGTCGCAGGTACAGCTTGCAAGAGAGTCCCCCTTGGACTGAGGAAGCAGGGCAAAGTTCACAGCCGGAGAGCAATGCAAAAGAACATCGGAAACATCATCTGGAAAATCAACATGGATCCTGTCCCATTTTTTTAAAAAAAGCAATCTAGTGCTTGCCTTTTCCAGACACGAACAAAGCACCAAATAAAAACAGTGAGTAAAAACAATTAAACAAAAATCACAATCTAATTAAAAGGCACAAGTTATCTTAAAATGCCATTGGGTACCTTGAGAAGCCTGTATGTCAAGCTCCAAAAACCAAACGTGCTGTAAAGGTTCATGAGTGCCAAAACACAAACCAATTATTATTATTATTATTATTATTATTATCATCATCCTTAGAGAAGGAAAGAATTCCTGCCCTCCAGACTTGGTCAAAGCACCAACATTTGAGTGAACCAGGAAGCTGACCTGGTTCTTGTAGCCCTTGTCCACCCCCAGGGTCTGTGTGCAGAAACGATGCTTCACCCCAAAATGACGCATCAGGTAGGCCAAATCGATCGTCCAGATGCTCTCCGTCATCTGGAGGTCCTGAATGGCTTTCTGGAACTCGTCGTCATTCAGGAGGTTCAGGTACCTGGGACGAAACCAGAGGAAGTGGTGATGGTGAAGAAGAGGGATCAGGGGAGAACAGAGCGCAGCTTATAACGTGTTGCCTGACAGAAGGGAATCTGGATGCTACAGGGCCTGCCTGCACAATGGACAAACTTCAGAGCAAGAGAAATGGGTGGAGAATGTCCCCCCGGATTCTATTTCAGAGATGAAACAATGGTTTCCTTTTGTGAGTTGGCTCATATCAGCATATTGGGGGAAAGACCCTCTTCCAGCTGTTTCAAGCAGATTTGTTAATGCCAGTGGTGGGGTCAGAGATAATGCGAGCTGCAGTTAAGCAACCTCTGGAGGGCCACAGAATCTACCTCCATCCCCATTTATACAAATACAGTGGGCCCCACATAAGAAGGAATGGCATCTACAGTTTGAATTTTCTCGCAACAGGCCAGGATTTGAAAGGAAGAAGGGAAGGAACTTGATAGGCGTCCAATGGAAAGTCCCTTGGACACCAACGATGTGGTCTGGTCCAGGCGTAAGGAGATAGGAGGGAAGGTTTTGTGGGCTTGCCTACTCTCTCCCACCACCCCCTTCCTAAGATTTGCTTTGCCCTTTACATCTGTTTTGGGACTAACTCCAACTTCAGGTAACTAAGAATGCATTGTAAAGTTAGTCTGAAGCTGTTCTGCAAACTCTGGTTCCTGGCAATCCTGGCTAGCTCTCAACACAGCTCAAATAAGGGTGTTATACTAAGTTTTGGTTAAACAATGGAGGCATTCATGCACAACAAAGGGAAAGGGAGAGGAGATGAGCTGACAGCAATCTCCAAACCAGGGTTATGCCTGAGCCAGACCTGTGAAGAGGCGGATAGCGCAGACACAGAAAAAGGAGGTGCGTTGGGGAGAGGGGCAGCTCATTCATGGGATGATGGGAAGGGGCCACAATAGAGGAGAAATCACTGACATTCCATCATGAACAGGGGAGTGGGGGGAGAGAAAGGCTTGGATCCACAGGGCAAGAAGTTCACTCTTGGAAATTCAGTTTGGTACAGGAAGGAGGGAGGGAGGGAGGGAGGGGGAGTTACAGTAGTCAAGATGGGAAATTACCAGCGGGCAGGCTAGCGTCTTGGCAGAAGGGATGGAGAGAAATGAAAATCTTCTGCTTCATATCTACTAAGTGGCCCTCTAAAGAGGCATTTCACTCTCCTGCACCTAAAGCTCGTGTTCCTCTGTGGAAGGAAAGACGAGTTCAGCAGGAAAAAGAAAACGGGGGAAAAAAGACCGAGAGCCAGCAGGCAGCACAGCAGAGGCAGATGGAAAGTCGTAGTGGCCATTATTCATGGAACACAAAAGGCAGGGTGGCTTCTACGGGAGTCACACAAGAGCACGGCAACAGACTCAAAACACCCAAAGAGGAAAAACCCGCCAGTTGCTGGCAATTACCGTATTTTTCGCTCTATAAGACACACCAGACCATAACACGCACCTAGTTTCTGGAGGAGGAAAACAAGAAAAAAAATATTCTGAATCCCAGAAGCCAGAACAGCAAGAGGGATCGCTGCGCAGCGAAAGCAGCGATCCCTCTTGCTGTTCTGGCTTCTGGGATAGCTGCGCAGCCTGCATTCGCTCCATAAGACACACACACATTTCCCCTTACTTTTTAGGAGGGAAAAAGTGAGTCTTATAGAGCCAAAAATACGGTACTTGAAAAGGAAGTCAGCTGAGTGGCCCAGTCAAGAGTGTCTTCTATTGGGCCAATCAGAGTTCTTACATTATGAATATAACAACCTTTGTACCCATTCTTTGTCACAGTCAGACATTAATGTCATTTCCTCCACAGTTCCTTTTCTCGTGCTTGAGGAGCTGCTGTTGTGGTCAGTTGCGCTGCACTCACTGGAGGGCCAAGGCAGTTGGGTGAGGTCTAGGGACCTTCCCACCTTGGAAGCAACTTGTTGCAAAGTGCCACCAGCCACCTCGCCTCCTTCCCCACCCCCAATAAGCCCCAACCAAAAATGGACTTACTGCAGAACCATCCTGGAGCAAGCCAGCCCACAGTCCCAGTGGTACAGCTGCTGAAGGATTGGCACGTCCAGCTGCACATTGTCCACTGCAGGAAAGAGGACACCACCGTCAGAAAGACAGTTTTTGGCACAACTAAGGTTCTTCTCTACATTCACACCCATCCTTTAACAGGAAAAAAAAATATTATTTTGTTCCATGCCAAAGACATCAGTTTGCAACATTTTAAAACAACTCCAGGGGGTCTAGTTTCATCTGGCCCAAGAACTTGGTTTCACAGTAATATACCATGGGATCATAACTGCCCCTGGATATATTGGACTAATTTATCAGTTCTGCACCCACACCATCTGCCAAAACCACCTCCCGGTGGTGTAAACCAAAGATGAGAAACGTGTGGCCTTGCAGATGTTTGTCGTACCTAGTCCTGAACTTGTACAAGCCATGGAGCTCTTGGAAGGATGAACCAGGCACCCCCACAGGATAAGGGCCTTGAGGAGCAGGCACGGGTCCTGAAACCCAGTCTGAGGATCCCCTTGAAGGGGCCGTCTGGGTTGATACATGATGAAGAACCCCAGGAAGGTGCCTGCCCCCCAGCCTTTGAGAGAGAGAGAGCACCAAAAGCTTGACCTCTAGGTTGAAGAGGAACACCACAGTATGCATCTATGGGCCCAGGGTCTCCTTGTGAGTAGGCAATCCCTGATGCTCCTTCACTGGCAGCAGCTGGGGCCAGAGTAGATAAGGCTCCCCCTCTTGAGCCTTCCAGTTGCTGGAAACAACACAGGTCTCTGGCTCCTTTTTCCTATGTTGTACCTGGCCTGAACTTCCTGAGACTGCTGCCTAATTTCATTTCTGGACTGCATTTGGACCTAGGTTGCTTCTCTATGCATGACCTTGGTTTGTTTGGATTGTGCTGTGCCTGAACTCCTTGGGAGTGCTTTAGTGAAGGTTTGTGTCTTCGGTAACTGGGACCCCTTCCCCCAACCCACAGAACGCATCTCCTGGAAGTGACAGGATTGTGGACTACACCTCCCATAATCCCTAGCCAGTGGCTATGCTGACTGAGATGGATGGGAGATGGTCTAAAAAAATATGGAGCGCCACAACTAGTCATCCTGATTACTAGGTTAGCTGCTCTGTTAGGGGAGAAATGCAGGGTATTGTGAACAGCAAAGCATGTCACAGAGGTGCTGATGAAAGACTTGGATGTTTCTGGTTTTTACAGAGGCCAATAGCTCAGCACAATAATTTCTAAATCTTCCTGGCAATGAGCCCATCATTTCCTGGGTAAAAAAGCATCAACAGAGCCACCCACTTTTTGTGTTTGCAAACTCTTTGCCAGTTATGCCCTTAGCAATGTCTAGTCATCGGGACTCTTGCTCAATTGAGTCGTTGCTCTTTGGGGATAAAAGTCTGTGTTGACAGGTTACCAGGACTAAAGGTACAGGAAAGGCTAGAGCCCCAGGACAGGGAGGGGACTCAGCTGGCTTCTTTCCAACCAACTGAGGCTGACTCAAGGGAACCGAGAGGGAGGTCAGGACAGTTCTGGCCCTCTGGCTCTGGACATGCAGCGCATTCTTCAAGGGTAGCCTGGTGTATTTAGGAAATAATAATACTGTGTTTCAAAAGGACCAGGGGCAACACAAAGACATTTCAACTGATCCAGTTTGAACAAAGGCTCTTGCAGAAGCCTCCCCAGCCTGCTTTGCCTGATCTTCAGCAAGACTCCGTTAGCAGCGAGAGACCAGTGACACTTGCCAGCCGGCGGCATCAAGGCCCAAATTGCTTTGAGGGCTCTTTTTTTTAAAAAAAGCAGTCAAGTAGTGTATTAATTTAATGAAGCACATAGTAAGTAAATTGGAACAGAGCCCAAAGCAATTGGGGGGGGGGGGTGTCCAGGGGAAGATGTCATCGCTTGCCTCATGGTCCTACGGAGGAATCTTTAGAGCTTCTGTAACTCTGCTTTCGGTCATGCAAAACGTGCTGGAAAATATGACAGCGGATGTGTGTTTCTAACGGGATGCTGCGATGGAGACAACTGGAATCCCGAACTCTTGAAAGTGGCCTAAACACCATAAAGATATAAGTTTGCAGGAGCACTTTGGGCGGGCCCACTCCTCTCAGCCTGGAAGCCAAGTATGAGATCCTTGCTCTAAAGGCCACTTTCCCACGGGGGTCCGCTAAGATTTCATTAGCTGGAAATAGTCCAGAGAGCCACCAACACCAATAGCACTAGTAGCTGCTGCTGCTTTAGGGCGGCTGTCACCGTACCAGGTGCAGCCCGACCTGGGAGCGTCCGGCGGGGCAGTAAGCCAGCTCCGGACTGCGCAGCCCGACCCTAACCCCACACCCTGGATCAGGCTGCGCGGCGGCAGAGGGACCCCTTTCTACTGGGCTCCGACGTGTTTCCTCGGGAGCTAGCCAGCCAGCCCCCCACTCCCCAGCACTCTGCACATGCTCGGGCGCCCCTTCCCAAGGCGGCAGGGCCCCCACCCCACGACCTGACGGACCTGCGGGCGACTCGTGCGCGTCTTCCTTGGGGCTCTTCATGGCGGCGAGGCGGGCGACGGGGAGCCGCTCACGGGCCAAGGGCGGCCGCGGGGCTCGGCAGGGCGCGGGCCGGCATGGTTCCCCCGGCGGCGGCGGCGGCTCCTCTTCCTCCTCCTCCCGTCCCTCTCGGCCCGGCGGAGGCGGAGCCCGCAGCGGAGGCCTAGCGCCTGCCTCCCTCCGGGCCCGCCTCGCTCCTTCTGCGGTGGTCGCCGAGCAGCCTTCCCGCCGGCTCCAGCGGGGCCAGGGGTGAGGCCCGGCAGGCACCGGGACGGGAGGACGTACCGGGGGGGGGGGCTCCCTTTCCCACCCCGCAAGGAGCGACCAGGGGCGGCGGCGGCGGAGGAGGCCGGGCCTGCCAAGGGCCGGTGGACTACAACTCCCGGCAGCCTCAGCCAGGCCGGCCAAGGCTCGGCGCTGATGGGAGTCGTAGTCGCTGACAGGATCCCAAAGAGGTGGCCCCGCTCTCGCCTCTCAGTAAGCGCCCAGAAAATGGGAAGGGAAGGGAAGGCGGCGACGAGGAGGCTTCAAGCGTGGCGGGGTGTCGCCGGTGGTGTACCCCCCCTCACGGGCAGGGCAAGCGGAACTGTCGAGCAGGGGTCTCGTTTCCCGGGCGACTCCTCAAGCGTGTAACACAAGAGGCCCAGAGGGGCTCGGGGCGACTTCCTTTAGCCGAGGCGCGCTGCATGCTGGGACACCGGCGGGCGAGGAAACGGAGGCACGCCGTAGCGGAGAGCGGGAGCGCCTGACGGTGAGTTGCAAAGGGAGGCCGGCCTGGCTCGGCCTAGCTTAGTCCAGCCCGGCCCGCGAAGCGAGGTTCCCTCCTTCCCTCCCTCGCGGTTTCTTCCGGGGGGGCCTCGGTTTGAGCTGCCCTCGCTCGACCCGCGGAGCTCCCAGGCCCCGCTTAGGACTGCTGCATTCCTACTCAGAGTAGACCCTTCTCCCTAATCTCCCGTTGGAATTTAGTCGCTCACGTCTATTTCCGCGAGTTTACTACGTTGGACTTAGTTGGATGCAGCCCAGTGGAGGCAGGTCACTGGAGTGCGTTGTTTTCAGTGGCCTACTCCTGAGTAGTACTGACTAGAGAGCCACGATGGTTGGGCATTGGGTAGGGGAACGTATTCCCCATCCCCTAAGGAAGGGGACTTAACTTGGGGCTGTCAGTTTCCCCCCCAGAAATGCCTTCAACCGGAAGGGGGGGCGAGGGCACGATCCAAAAGCACCCCACTGATTTCACAGTGTTAGTGTATGGTGGGGGTTTGGGGATATTTTTGCGTGTGCTTAACCGAGACCCTTTGGTGCATTTCGTCGAAGGTACGGGCTCCTGGCTTGGCCAGGCCCACCAAGTACATAGGCCCGATTCATTCTCAGCCTTCCCTAGCCTGGTGTCATACAGCTGTATTGGACTACGACTTCCATCTGGCCGCAGAATTAGCCTGGCATACTGGGCTGGATCTGATGGGAGCTGTAGTCCTAGGCACCTCGAGGCTGGGGGAGGATGTAATAACTGCTTTATGATCCCTCTGATCTCTGGAATGCTCCTCCATCTCAGGTGAAGCTAGCACCAACATTTTCCCCCTTTGGATGGCAATTGAAGATGAGTCTTTTTGGCCAGACTCTGGGCAGTGGAGGGACGCGGGTGGCGTTGTGGGTTAAACCACAGAACCTAGGACTTGCCGATCAGAAGGTTGGCGGTTCAAATCCCCGCGATGGGGTGAGCTCCCATTGCTCGGTCCCTGCTCCTGCCAACCTAGCAGTTCAAAAGCATGTCAAAGTGCAAGTAGATAAATAGGTACCGCTCCAGCGGGAAGGTACACGGCATTTCCGTGTGCTCGTCTGATTCGCCAGAAGCGGCTTAGTCATGCTGGCCACATGACCTGGAAGCTGTACGCCGGCTCCCTCGGCCAATAAAGCGAGATAAGCGCAGCAACCCCAATGTCAGTCATGACTGGACCTAAAGGTCAGGGGTCCCTTTACCTTTACCTGCGCAGTGGGTGAGCTGAGTTCCAGTGGCTCTCTTCTGGACACCAGCTGTTTGTCAATGTTATTGGTGTCTGTGTTAAAGTTTAGTTATCTTTAATGTTTTATATGCAGCTATATTATTAGTATTTAACCTGCCTTCGCATTGTATGGAGGACAGGATTGTAAACTGAATAAACAGCAGCAAGAACAATAATAATAATAATATTTGGTGCTTACATGAAGCATGCCTTGCTCTTCTGAGGAGCACAATATAGCCTGACAGGCAGATTTGCACCTCATTCCCCTTGCTAAACTTCCCATTATACCTCTGGTTTTGGAAAAATTTACCACCAACTCCCTGCTGTGGGTTTGTTTTCTGCTTCAATCACACTGGATTTGACTCTATTCTGATGATCCTCAATGTTGCTTGATGAGTTTTGTGATGCTTCCTCAGATGCCCTATAGATGTCATTACCCTTGTACCTTACTTCCTGGGAGTACAAGACACTCTTAAGAAGGGGCAGCCATGGAACAAAAGCTGTTAATACGATGTTGCATTTCCCCCTTCCTCTCTCAGGTTTGAACACACCCAGCTTTAGTCATGTCTATCGGAGTGCCAATTAAAGTCCTGCATGAAGCAGAGGGTCATATTGTGACCTGTGAGACGAATACAGGAGAAGTATACCGCGGAAAGCTCATTGAGGCTGAGGACAACATGAATTGTCAGGTAGGTGGGCTTTGAAAAGTGGTGATGGGTGGCTAGGAGGATGTGGCCAGAACAAAATGTCCCGCTTTGGGTCTTCATCTGTTGTGGGAGATCTTAGCCTTGTCTTAAAAAATCAAGAGAACTGTAATTGGGGCTCCCCTGATAGAGAGAGAATGCAAAGACATTACTTGGCCACCAAAGTGATTGAGTGATTGGTCATTCCCCCTTCACCCTAAGTTCCCAGAGCAGGTTGTGACAATTAAAAATACAACATAAAAAAGAAATTCTAAAAACCTACAATTACAAAAATATACAATCACAAAAATATACACCTCGGGTGTTGAAGGCAAGGGTCAAGAGATGTTTTCTTCAACATTCACAGAAAACTGTATAATGAAGTTGCCAAGTGCACCTCTACAGGGAAGGAGTGTCACAGATTAAGGGCTAAGTTCGTAGGCTCCTCCTTTGCGCATTAGTCCTGTCCTCTTTCAAAGCCATCCAAGTTGGTGGTGATTGCTGCCTCCTGTGGTAGCTAGTGCTACAATTTAACTCTGCGCTGCATGGATAAGTCCTTTTTTTCAGTCCTGAATCTTCCAACATTTGGCTTCGTTGGATACCCCCAAATTCTTGTGTTTTGAGAGAGAGAGAGAAACTTTGCCCGCTTTCTCCATGGCATGCTAAATTTTATAAACTTCTATGAAGTTTTTTTTATATAAAACCTCTTACCTTGCCCCCCCCCCATCCCAACTATTATTTAATTTTCCTGCATTGCAGAGGTACGATTAGAGGACCCTCAGGTTACCTTCCACAATTATGTGATTCTATGGCTGCCACAGATAATACCTTCTGTCACCCATCCCTGGACTTATCTCTCCCTGGAGCTTCCCAGTGTTGCTGGACTACAGCTCCCATCACCCTTGACCATTGGCCATGCTGGCTGGGACTGATGGGAGTCATAGTTTATCAACATCTGGTGGGCACCACATTGGCTACCTCTCCTTTTAAAGGGCTCCAGTCGCCCTCATCACTAGTTGAGTTGATGCAGAAGAGGTTTTCAGAGTGGGCAAGGACTCTTATCTGCTGAGGTGGGCACAAGCGCTTTTAATAGTAAAAGGAAAATCCTGAGCCTAGGTTGCTACTCCAGAAAAACTCCCTAAACAAAGCAGAGCTCTCCTGGTATATCTTCTTCGGCAGTCTTCGCCAACCTGGTGCCCTCCAGCAGGAGTTTTGGACCACAGCTGCCTTCAGCCCCAGCCAGCACCGCCATATGATGCTGGCGCTGATGGGACTTGCAGTACAAAACAGCTGAAGGGCATTGGATTGTCAATGGCTGCGCTCCAGTATGATACTTTGGAACATCTGCTTCATTTACTCCACAGGCTGTTAAACATCGAGGATTTCTTAATGCTTTTTTTAAAAAAATATTGCTGTGACTTCTTTGTCCTGTGCCATCACATTTGTATTTTAAAAAAACATTTCCGTAATTGCCCTAGGAATTTTGATTAGCTATTAAAGGGTGGGGATAAAATTTAAGAAATAAGGCATGGAGAACTGAGATCAACATACAGATGCTGGCAACTTTGCTGCTTCATCTGTTCCTGCACCTATCCTGCTGTTCTCAAGCTAATCTGAAAACAAGGGCTGTTCCTTGCTGCTTTAAAGACACATCCAGAGAAATGGGAAAGCAAAATGCTTTTCACTTGTCTTAACTCGCCAATATGACATACTTGGCCAGAGAGCCTTTCCATTTTAGGAACCAGCTGGCCGTTTTTGCCGTTGAGCTTCTTTTCTCAAAGGCTCTGTCCTGTTCAGCCACTCATTCTCTCTTTCCAGATGTCCAACATCACAGTGACCTACAGAGATGGGCGCGTGGCGCAACTAGAGCAGGTGTACATTCGGGGGAGCAAAATCAGATTCCTCATCTTGCCCGATATGCTGAAAAATGCACCAATGCTGAAAAGTATGAAGAACAAAAACCAGGGCTCTGGGGCTGGAAGGGGAAAAGCTGCTATCCTGAAAGCCCAGGGTAAGTAGTGGGGCAGGCGCAGGCTGCGTGCTGCATAGGAAGCCAACTTAGGCTGGGTCAGATCATTGGGATCCATCTTGCTCAGTATTGCCTACACTGACTGGCAGCAGTGGGTCACCAGACCAGAATTTCTCTTGCCCATACTGAGAGATGGCGCTGTGGGTTAAATCACAGATCCTAGGACTTGCCGATCAGAAGGTTGGCGGTTCGAATCCCCGTGACGGGGTGAGCTCCTGTTGCTCGGTCCCTGCTCCTGCCAACCTAGCAGTTCAAAAGCAAGTCATAGTTCAAGTAGATAAATAGGTACCTCTCCGGCGGGAAGGTAAATGGCATTTCCGTGCGCTGCTCTGGTTCGCCAGAAGTGGCTTAGTCCTGCCAGCCACATGACCCGAAAGCTCCCTTGGCTAATAAAGCGAGATGAGTGCCGGAACCCCAGAGTCGGTCACGACTGGACCTAATGGTCACGGGTACCTTTACCTTTATACTGAGATATGCTTCCAAGGATTGAATCTCGGACCTTCTGCTCTCCATTGCTGACTACGGCTGGGTTTTCAGCATCATGATATATCACCAGCTAAACATCGTGTTATACCGAAACAGTCAAACCTTGTTTCCGGAACGGCTTAGTTGCCGAACAAATCGACTCCTGAACACTGCAAACCCAGAAGTGTTCCGATTTGCAAACGTTTTTTGGAAGCTGAACTTCCGATGCGGCTTCCGCTTGAGCGCAGGAAGCTCCTGCAGCCAATTGGAAGCCGCGCCTTCGTTTTTGAATGGTTTCGGGAGTCAAACGGACTCCCGGAACAGATTTAAGTTTGAGAACCAAGGTACCACTGTATATCACAATGTCTGAAATAAGGATGGCGCTATGCAGAGGCATAAGCTAGCTTCGCGGTTTCTCCCGCATCATGATTTTTGCATAACGTGCACATCCATCATGATTCACAATGTATTGCCAGGTCAAAAATTGTGAAGCTGCTATCTTGCTATGGACTTCAGTCAGTTTTGGACAATATACCACCCAGCCCTATTACTGACTTATAGCCCTTATCAGAATGGGAGGCCTGGCTCTTGGCAGCAGATGCTGCAGGCTGAGCTGACCCCTTTGGAAGGTTCCAAGTTGATTCAGGGTAGTCAAAAGGTAGTACTTCCTACAATGCTCAAGCAGCTATGAAATGTGCTGCCACGGACGTGGCCCGTGGCTTAGATGCCTTTTAAAAGTGGGGTGGGTTTGTCAGTGGCTGCTGGTCCTGATGGCTGAAGCAAAACTGCATCTAAATCCTGTTTGCTTCGGAGAAGCAGCAGAGGTGTGTTTATGTGATGGCCATGTTGTTCTCCTCGAGATCATCTCAGAAGCAGCAGTTTGCAGTCAATGGGCCTTTGGTCTGACTCAGCAGGGAACCCTTCTTGAATGTTCTTACAGGGTTTGCGCTTCCCCTGTTCAGTTTATGGCATTGTTTGCTGTTGTTTCCCCTGCAGTGGCTGCCAGAGGAAGAGGGCGTGGCATGGGCCGTGGCAACATTTTCCAGAAGCGGCGGTAACTTCGGACGCAGCCTTTTCTCAATGAATTGAAAACTGTAGTTGTAAAATGTGGTGGTGATGGGCTTTTGTGTTATTCAATAAATGTGTTTCTTACAAAATGGAGGGACAGCTTCCGTTGTGTGGCATGAACTTCGTTGTGGGGGGTACCGCTTTGCTGTTGCCACACAAGGTGAATAAGCCTGGCCCAGGAGATGGGGGCAAGCAGACAGACAGAAAGGCTACCATCATGCTATGCCTGTTGCTTCTGCACCAGTTCCAGACTGATTTTCAGCAGCCAATGCTACTGGTCAGTTGAGGCGGCTTCTTTTTTTACCTTTGCCTGTGAGTCAGCTATGAGCCTGTTGATTTTCAGTTCAGATTTTTCACCCACCATTTATAACAGCAACTTGGGAGATGGTGGTGTTTTCTCCCAGGGCTCAGCAGATGGGTTGTTCCAAGAACTGGATGGTAGATGATATTAGTAAGAAATAAAACATTGGAAGGTGAAACCACACTTTACCTTGATTATTTATTTAGGTTTGAAGCGGCGTCCTTTGCAAAAAGTTTGCACATTCAGCGAGTACTGTTTGCATGAGCTTGCATCTGCAGACTGAATTCAGGCTGTTCATTTTGCCAGAACATTGTTCTGGGTGGGGTCTTTGGAGGGGATTTTTTCAGGCACAGAGGAGAGGTAGATGAGCAACAGCTTTGCCAGTGCAGATGAGGCCAGTGTGCTGCATATTTGATATTAGAGGTATCTCCTTTTAACCTGTAATGTGACCCCTGAACATATTCATTGGCAGCCTTCTGAATCATCCCAGTGGCCCAGCGAGGGAGGCAGCAGCTCTGGAAGTTCAAAGGCAGAGACGATTCCCAGCTAGGCTACCCGAGATCCTTTCCAAGGGAAATCACAGGCAACACATGCCTTCTACTAGTGCAATGCCACTTGCTAGAGGTCGGATCTTGGCTCCTGATAAAACCCAAAGATTTTTAGAGCAAATATTTTCTGCGAGCTGCCTGGAAGCTTTGCAGCATCATTATGTGGCTGGGGAATGCGCCAGTCATAATTCTGCCTTCACACACAGCCAGGAGAGGGAGGGAAACCAGAGGACGAAAAATCTGCTGCTTCGGGAGAGAGAAACGTTGCAGCCCAACATTGCATGGGTTTGTTCAGATCAGAAAGTGGAATCCAGTCCCACCTCCCAGCCTGTCCAAAAATTGCCAGACCCAGTTCCTTGGAGGGCTTTTAAGGCACCTCCCAGCCATGAAACAGTGCCATCACCACAGTAATATTCAGGGTGGGGGGTTCCTATTACTAATGTGGAAAGACACAAGGTGGGAGAGGGCATCTCCCAGTAAAAGTTTGCTTCAGGGCAACTGTTGCTGCTTCAAGTGGGTTAGCCTGCAGGTGTTTTATGTGCTGCAGATGTTGGGAGGACATCATTTTAAATCTCTGGATTTTTAGCAAAATTACAAGTAGCTCAGAAAGCAAAATACCTAGTAGGGACAAACGTGGGGTTTGCTACTTAAATTGTAGCAGATGGAGTTCGGTTTTAGTGTAGCAAGCTTTTTAACTTTTCTGGGATGTCTCCCTCTGCTTTTTCTTTCTTTTCCCCTCCCTGCATCATACGGTTTGTGCGTGAGCCCTTTCATTTGTCTGCATGCAACCTCCCTCCTTCCCACTGCGATGCTTTTGCCTCTTATTCCAAGAAGACCATTTATTATCATTCGCCACATACAGCAATGGTCAACACTGAAAAATGCACAGGGGAGGTTTTCCAACTCTCCCTTCAGTTTCTTTGCTGGCATCGGAAGCGGGGCCTTGTCAACACTGCTTCAAAAATTGTCAGGTGATCCTTTACAAGCAGCAAGCGGTGCAGAACTTTTGCATGTTGTTTTTGTTTTAAAAAAAATACACATTTGTATCTCCATCTCAAACAGCCCATGCAGCAGAGATGCTCCCATGAGACTCCTCCTCCTGCTCCAGTTTGGTCCATAACTGAATCTGAGAAGGGATATCATCTCTGCCTTTGCTGCAACTCCCAGTCCCCTACCTCACATATTCTTAGCCTTGAAATATCCTGACACTGCAACACAGTCACATGTCCTTGGCTTGCACACTCTGTAGAACGTTGCATTCCATTGCCCTTTTGTCTGGAGACTGGAACAAAAAAAACCAAAACAAAACACCAGGCTTGCAGCAGCTGCCACCGCCTCTCCTTTCTAAGGTCTGCAAGCCATGGCCGCTCAGCCTTTAGATGCAGCCTCCATCCCACCACCACTTGGGGGTACAGGCCCCCACCTGCAAGCTGAGGGAGGGGGCAGGAGCTGCTGCTTTGTCCCAACAACTTGTGGTGCTGCTCGTTTTAAGTTCTCTACCTTGCCCACTGCCTCCTGATGGCTCGCTCTTCCTAGGTCTGCATTCATGGCCACGGTAAGTGACTAGTCCCTGTTGGGTGGGGGCGTGTCTGTGTAATGCAAACAGTGGTTAGGAGGAAGCTGCTCTGGGGAGCAGACGGCAGCAACGGGCCCTGGCTGGAAATCTTCCAAGCTGGGCAGGGTTGCTGGTAAAGGCAAGAGGACCTCTTGCGGTCGGGACTCTCGCTGCCAGGGCTTCAATCTTGCAGAGAAGGCCTCGCACGCCCAATCACCTTTCGCAGGACTGCGGACAGAAGTCGTGGGACTTGCTTCCAGCTGCTGCACCTTCCTCTTCCTCTGTCTGGCTGGCCTCTGCTCCACTGGAGAGTTCGGCCTCACAGTCAAGGACCTCGTAAATGGTGGGCAGCGTGGTGTGCTGGCCCAGGCGCTTCCGCAAGCCCACGAGCAGCGGCTGGGGCATGGACGAGATATCCACGTTGTTGCCAAGGTCGATCCACGCCAAGGAGGGGAACTTGGTCGCCTCCTTCATGGCGTCGGTGAGGTCCTTCACAGTGGCGCGGGTCAGGCGGTTCCCATTGAGGGAGAGGTGAGTGAGGTTGGGCAGTGGCCACAGGAAAGGCAGCAAGAGGTGCATCATCTCGTCCGTCAGGTCAGTGAAGCTCAGGTCCACAGTGCTCAAGTCCTCACCTTTGTTCTGCAGGTAGTAAGCCAGGCGGTGGATGTCTCTCATGGAAAGGGGGATCCCTGATAGATCCATCGTGTCCGGGCTCAGCTTCTTTTGCAAGCTGTTTTTCAGACTAAGAGAGAGAGAGAGAAAGAAAAAGACAGTTTTTAGAAGGAGGCGAGCTTCAAAACAGAGTCTAAAGCAGCGGTTCTCAACCTGTGGGTCCCCAGATGTTGTTGGACTACAACTCCCATCATCCCTGAGCTCTGGCCTTGCTAGCTAGACATGATGGGAATTGTAGTTCAACAACATCTGGGGACCCACAGGTTGAGAAACGCTGGTCTAAAGACCATCACCTCCTGGCAAATAGAAGGGGAAGAAATGGAAGCAGTGAGAGATTTTACTTTCTTGGGCTCCATGATCACTGCAGATGGTGACAGCAGTCACGAAATAAAAAGACACCTGCTTCTTGGGAGAAAAGCAATGACAAACCTAGACAGCATCTTAAAAAGCAGAGACATCACCTTGCCAACAAAGGTCCGTATAGTTAAAGCTATGGTTTTCCCAGTAGTGATGTATGGAAGTGAAAGCTGGACCATAAAGAAGGCTGATCGCCGAAGAATTGATGCTTTTGAATTATGGTGCTGGAGGAGACTCTTGAGAGTCCCATGGACTGCAAGAAGATCAAACCTATCCATTCTGAAGGAAATCAGCCCTGAGTGCTCACTGGAAGGACAGATCCTGAAGCTGAGCCTCCAATACTTTGGCCACCTAACGAGAAGAGAAGACTCCCTGGAAAAGACCCTGATGTTGGGAAAGATGGAGGGCACAAGGAGAAGGGGACGACACAGGACGAGATGGTTGGACAGTGTTCTCGAAGCTACCAGCATGAGTGACCAAACTGCAAGAGGCAGTGGAAGAGAGGCGTGCCTGGCATGCTCTGGTCCACGGGATCACGAAGAGTCGGACATGACTAAACGACAACAACAACAAAGACCTTCAAAACATGGGTTGGTCATGCTGTGTCTGACAGGTTTGGTCCTTAAGGGCACATCCCTTTCATGAGCAAACTTAGGGGATATTTAATCTCCAGGAAGAGATTCCTTGCCTGAAATCTGCACCCAGTCTCCCCACCCCCGACTCCAGCCCAATCCTCATCCCTCACCTGGCCTGGGACCTCCGCCGGGGCAGGCCTTGCCGGTGCCACTTGGAATGAGGAGTCAAGTGGTAAATCAGCTGCCGGCAGATCCGGTCTGAGGACTTCCAGGGGTCGTATTCCTGAAAGCAGAAGACCTGAAGTCATTGGCAGGGACTCAGGCACTGGTCTCCTCCGTTTGTGCAGTGCCCACCCCCCCTCCTGCGCCACAGCTCTAGAGTTTCCTGCAGATCAATGCAGATCCATTTCCCCCAAAACATCCTGTCCTGGTGCTCAGGCGTCAGCAGAGCCAGCTCAAAGGGGAAGAGCCTGGCGGAATAAGACCGCTGTGAAATAATAAACAGCAAAAGCAGCCGTGTTGTTGTTCTGCAAACCAGACCTCCAAAAGCCGCAGCTGGGCACTTTCTTTCCAAATGTCACAGAACTGTGGCAAGCTTCGCATCCCTTCGCTCGATCCTTATTAAGACTGGTTTTTGGAGTCTTTTCCTGGGCCTACATGGCTTCCTCGGGTTTTCATGTCCCTGGAAGAATACCGAATCCGGCCATCCAGGGTAGACTCTGCAACCGCAGCTCACCATGTGAGGGTTGCTCTGAAAAGAGGAGAGCTGGAACCCAGAGGAATTTTATGGATGCAGGTTTACCTCATCTTAGCAGAGATGCTGGGCTATCAGCCAGGCCAGAGAGGCTCACCTGGTGCCATCCTTACATGTATTTAGGCGCCAAGCAAAAACATCCCTTTTTACCCAGGCCTTCGGCCAATGAACCATCTATGGCCTTATAAAATTGTGGGAAACTGCTGTTATGGTTTTTCTTCCTGTGGTTGTTTTATTTTGTTGTTGTTATTATTATTATTACGCCATGTAAATTATGTTTTAAATGTTGTACACCATGCTGGGATGTTCAGATAAAGGATGTAATAATAATACAGTGGTACCTCGGGTTAAGAACTTAATTTGTTCTGCAGGTCCATTCTTAATCTGAAACTGTTCTTAACCTGAGGTACCACTTTAGCTAATGAGGCCTCCTGCTGCTGCCGCCGCACGATTTCTGTTCTCATCCTGAAGCAAAGTTCTTAACCCGAGGTACTATTTCTGGGTTAGTGGCGTCTGTAACCTGAAGCGTCTGTAACCTGAGGTACCATTGTAATAATAATAATAATAATAATAATAATAATAACAACAATATCGTGCCCATCTAGCTGGGTTGCTCCAACCACTCTGGACAGCTTCCAATACACATAAAAACATAATGAAACACCAAACATTAAAAACTTCCCGATAAATAAATAAATAAATAAAGGCACAAATCTGCAAAGGCCCTCAAGTGATGTTGAGGCAGAATAATCTCTGAGGCTGGCTGGCCTTTTCCTCTCCCGTTCCCCCACCCCCATGACAACAGCTTCTCCCTCCACAAGCCTAGCTCAGCTGCATTAGATGTGGCCCTCATTGCTCTGAAAAGGCAAGGGAGTGGCTGTCTGCAACTTCAGAGTGCTTACTCTCTTTTTGTTTTTTGCAGGGGTGTGTTTGTGCGTGATGTTCTTTCTTCTGCATTTTTGGGGTTGTTCAGTGCCAAGGTACTGGACACGGAGCCTCCCCGAAGGGAGCCCCTTCCCCAATTCCAAAACCTCACCACCACCCTGCAGTGCTTGACTCAACACATTACATCCTGAGCTGATGCAAATGCCCAGAGGAGACTCTCTGCCATGATAGCTTTATTTTTTTAAAGCCTCCAAGTTCAGGAGCAGTCTACCTCTGAGTAAGTAAAGGTAAAGGGACCCCTGACCATTAGGTCCAGTCGTTGCCGACTCTGGGGTTGCGGCGCTCATCTCGCTTTATTGGCCGAGGGAGCCGGCCTACAGCTTCTGGGTCATGTGGCCAGGATGACTAAGCCGCATCTGGCGAACCAGAGCAGTGCGCAGAAACGCTGTTTACCTTCCCGCTGGAGTGGTACCTATTTATCTACTTGCACTTTGACGTGCTTTCAAACTGCTAGGTTGGCAGGAGCAGGGACCAAGCAACGGGAGATCACCCCATCGCGGGGATTCAAACCGCCAGTCTTCTGATCGGCAAGTCCTAGGCTCTGTGGTTTAACCCACAACGCCACCCGTGTCCCTACAACCTCTGAGTACCAACTGCAATAAGAACAGATCAGGAGGGGAGGGGCTACCAACATCTCTAAAGATACCTGGACAGCCACAGAATGATGGGCGGAGGCGGCCCCATTATGGGGCTTGAGCCAAAGAGCCATGGCATAGCATGTGCCTGCAGATACAGAGGCATCATGCCACTTGTGAGTGAGGGAGCTCCTTGTGAGTAAGCAACCCAGAAACACCTTTATCACCAGTAGCTGTGGCCTATATAAAGCCTCCCTCTTCTTCCTCCCAGTTGCTGGAAACAACACGGGTCTCTGGCTCCTCGCTTCTTCCTTGCCTGAGCTTCTATGATATCAACCTCAGATGGCAGCCTGTCCTTGTTTGATTCCCTGCATTTGACCTTGGCTGGTTTAGACTGCGCTGCCCCGGAAACCCTGCCGACATCTGTGAGTGCTTTGGGGAGAGGCTTGTAGGATGGATGGCGGCTAACAGATTGAGGTTGAATCCTGACAAGACAGAAGTACTGTTTTTGGGGGACAGGGGGCGGGCGGGTGTGAGGGATTCCCTGGTCCTGAATGGGGTAACTGTGTCCCTGAAGGACCAGGTGCGCAGCCTGGGAGTCATTTTGGACTCACAGCTGTCCATGGAGGTTTAGGTTAATTCTGTGTCCAGGGCAGCTGTCTACCAGCTCCACCTGGTACGCAGGCTAAGACCCTACCTGCCTGTCTCTCGCCAGAGTGGTGCATGCTCTAGTTATCTCCCGCTTGGACTACTGCAATGCACTCTATGTGGGGCTACCTTTGAAGGTGACCCGGAAACTGCAATTAATCCAGAATGCGGCAGCTAGACTGGTGACTGGGAGTGGTCGCCGGGACCACACAACACCAGTTCGGAGAGATCTGCATTGACTCCCAGTATGTTTCCAAGCACAATTCAAAGTGTTGGTGCTGACCTTTAAAACCCTGAACGGCTTTGGCCCAGTATACCTAAAGGAGTGTCTCCACCCCCATCGTTCAGCCCGGACACTGGGGTCTAGCTCCGAGAGCCTCATTGCGAGAAGTGAGGTTACAGGGAACCAGACAGAGGGCCTTCTCGGTAGTGGCACCCGCCCTGTGGAACGCCCTCCCTTCAGATGTGAAGGAAATAAGCAGCTATCCTATCTTTAAAAGACATCTGAAGGCAGCCCTGTTCAGGGAAGTTTGTAATATTTAACGCTGTACTGTTTTTAACACTTGATTGGGAGCCGCCCAGAGTGGCTGGGGAAACTCAGCCAGATGGGCGGGGTATAAATAAATTATTATTGTTGTTGTTGTTGTTGTATTTCCTGAGAGAGGGACCCGAGGAGAAGAAACTTCCAGGCACCTACTGCCCAACTAGCAAAACATGCACACCCCATAATGGGCTCACCTTTTTGGGGCACTGAAGGTCTCGGGCAAGGCTCATCAGGAGATCGTGGGAGATGGGATCCACAAGGTTGAGGAAGGCTGCGTTCTTGTAGAGAACTTCACTGAGGAATGTCCCTTCTAAACCAAGGTCCTGCAGGGAGAAGCCAGAAGATGGAATTGAGGGATCAGAATCTGGGCAAGGGGGGTGTGGAGGGGGGTGAGATGTTGCAACGGGGGGGGGGGGGGGCTTCTATAGAGGAGAGGAGCAGAATCACAGCCTCCTGGGCTAAATACTCTGCTCCTTTCTCAAGGAAGGGTTTCCTGGCAAAATCTGTCCCTGACGGAGCACTTGAAGGATAGCTGGCGACTTCCCTTAAAAATAAACATGGGGACCCAAGACCAACAACTGAGACAGACAACCATCCATTAAAGAGGAATTTGGTTCTGTTTCAGTATGAGGTGGGAATCAATTGGATGCTGAAAGGGTGGATGAAGCTCAAGCGCCGCAATGGGAAAGGAGCCTTAAGCCACCAAGTCAGGTTAAAACTGGGAGAAGGATGCCCTCCATCTTTATAATAATAATTTATTATTTGTACCCCGCCCATCTGGCTGGGTTTCCCCAGCCACTCTGGGCGGCTTCCACAAAGACCAAAAATACACTAAAATGTCACACATTAAAAACTTCCCTGCCTTAAGATGTCTTCTGAATGTCAGGTAGTTGTTTATCTCTTTGACATCTGATGGGAGGGCGTTCCACAGGGCAATCGCCACTACCGAGAAGGCCCTCTGCCTGGTTCCCTGTAGTTTTGCTTCTCGCAGTGAGGGAACTACCAGAAGACCCTTGGAGCTGGACCTCAGTGTCCGGGCAGAACGATGGGGGTGGAGACACTCCTTCAGGCATACTGGGTTGAGGCCATTTAGGGCTTTAAAAGTCAACACCAACACTTTGAATTGTGCTCGGAAACGTACTGGGAGCCAATGTAGATCTTTGAAGACCGGTGTTATGTGGTCTCGGTGGCCGTCCCCAGTCACCAGTCTAGCTGCCGCATTCTGGATTAGTTGTAGTTTCCGGGTCACCTTCAAAGGTAGCCCCACGTAGAGCGCATTGCAGTAGTCCAAGCAAGAGATAACCAGAGCATGCACCACTCTGGCGAGACAGTCTGCAGGCTCTTTTTGTTCTACCACTTTTGGTAGAACAACTCCCATGAACCCAACCTCAGGGCGTTTGCACCCCCACATTTTAGCCAGGATTGCTCACCCAAAGGTGGATGCAGAACCCGGCTGGAGCTACATCTCAGCCTGTCCTCCCCCCCCCAAAAAAAATCCGGGACGGACCTCTAAATTTGGACTAGTCTGACCCTTATGTTCCCCCACCCACTTATGGTTTTGATCTATGGGCTACTTTTAAAATGAGGCTGCATTTTAAATTGCATTTTAACCTGTATTTTAACTTGGTTTTCCCCCCCTATTATGTTTTTACTGTAATTTTACTGGTGTTAGCCACCCTGAGCCTGGCTCTGGCCGGGGAGGGTGGGGTATAAATAAAATTATTATTATTATTATTATTAATTATTAATCTGCCTGCCCACTACTGATTGGCTGGCAGCCAGACGGGCCCCTCCCTACCTCCATCCAGAGGAATCCCCCCCCAAAAAATCCTCCCCAAAATGCTTCTCTTTCAATCAGCTGGGGAATCCACCAAACCTGGAAGGATCCTTCCCTCACATTGAAGAGGGGTGGGGAAAAGAGGAAAAAAATTCAGGCGAAAGATAAAGGATTCCAAATTCTGAAACACAATTCAAACACTGCCTTAATTTTACCACGGATAGGATAAAATGCTGCCTATTTTACTTTTTTATTCCTTTGCAAAGAGTTAAGCTGACATGTATGAAAGACTTACAGCTCCGCCTCTGCCTTTTTTTAAAAAAAAGGGATGATGGGTTCTTTCTTTCCCCTTGTCCTGTGTTTATGTTGCACAAGCTACTTGGGTTTACTTTGGAAGAAAGACATAAATCCATCCTTCATAGGCTAATGATAATTATCAGTAATAATTGACTTCTCTGGTCAAAGGAGAGCTGGGTTTGGGGCAAAGGGGTTCTGAGGGTGTTGCTGCAAATTGCGCTTGAGGTACTTGAAGTTTCTTCTGTTAAATATATGACCTTTCTCTTGATATTTCCAAGAGGTACAATAAGACGGTCTCGCTAGGCTTGCAAAGTTCTACCTGTGGAGCATTGGAGGTGGAGGAGGCAAGGAAGCCCAGATGAATTTGGGGTGGGATGGGGTGGGGTGGGGGCTTCCTTCCAAGTATATAACTGGAACTGCAGTCTTGATCAACTACAATGATTTGCATATATTTAATGAAGTAATGGTGCTTTCATTTTTAAAAGATTGTATATTTTATCGTTTGCTGGTCAGGGGTTTATTGAGAAGAGGATGGAATATACCATATTTTCTCTGTATAAGACTAGGTTTTCCCCCTTAAAAATAATGTCAAAAATTAGGGGGAATATTATACATGGGGCCGTCTCCCCCCCCCCATTTTCTTAAATCCGAGTCCCCCAAAATAGAGGGTGTCTTATACATGGGGGCATCTTATAGACGGAAAAATACGGTAAACTTAATACTGATGAGGATTATGACGATAGTCTGGGCAATTCCCTATTTACGTGTGTTCGAAGTACACACAACCATGTGAGCATGCAACTGAGAACCCAGCAGTGGCACGGAAAGGAGAAAAAACGGCCCTAAAAAGCACAAAAACGGCATGAAAATAGTGTCTAGCAATCCCATGAGCCTTTGCATTGACCTTTGAGGCCTGTGCAGAGTTGGAGTTTTAGCAAGGAGATTTGGAGGGAGCGATTTCGGTTTTGCTTTTTTTAGGGTTTCCAGAGATTTAGAGGGTGTTGCAGACTTTTTTTAATGGTGTTCCCAATATATGCATTTTCCCTTAAACACGAGGTGCCTCAGAATGTAACCCCCGTGTAAATGGAGAGAGGAGTGTGAAAATGGCAAGCATCCTCTTAGGATCTCTTGTTCTCCAACTCACCGTGGGTGTCGGATCTAAAACACTTATTCCCCACAACCTGGTGCTTTCCAGGACTTTTGGAGTACAACTCCCTTCAGCCCCCAGCCAGAACCACTCTGAGATTGCTGCTTGGTTATTTCCCACTTTTAAAAATTCTGCTTTTATTTCAAAACGTCCTTAGTTTCAGCCGAGAGCGTACATCTTCCTACAGCGCCAGCCAGCTACGAAAGAATCATAAAGGGGCGGGCGGGGCACGGAGATGACTCGCGGCAGCGACGTTACACCGCCCGGAATCCCCGACGGCGTGGCGCAAACTCCTCGCCTCCCTCCACCGAGGACCCTCGGGCGACCTTGGAGGCCGCGGCAAGGGCAGGTGGCACCTCGGGCAACTTGCGCCTGCGCCGATGCCCGCTGGGCAAGGCTTCTGCCCCGCGCCGGGCACCAGCTCGGGGACTCGGACGCGCCGTCGGATCCTGGCCAGGGGACACCCGGCGGGGCGTCGCGTCCCTACGGGGCTCGCCTGGCCCCAAGCCCGGCACGCCCCCTTGCCAGCCACGCCCTGAGCAGGGAACAAAGCCTTGCACGTCGGTGCGGCCGCCCCTTAGCCGCCCAGCCCCAAGTCCGTCGAGCTCCCCCGGTCTGGCCCGGTGCCCATCGAGCAGCCGTCTGCCGGCAAGTCTCGCGGCTTGAAAAGAGCAAAGGGCGGCCCCGGGGGCTCCGTCGAGGCCGCGGCCCCGTCCCGCCCCGTCGGTCCGTGTTTACCTTGCGGAGAAGCCGGAGGGTGCGCGTCGCCTGGTCGCGGCGGCGCTGGCGGAGGGCCGCCTGGATGTCGCGGATCCAGCCCACCCGGCGCACGTAGGGGGGCGCCGGGCTGCTCTTCCGCAGCACCCCCGGCAGCTTCTCGGAGCTCAGCAGCCGCGAGGCCAGCGGGAAGCCCGGGCGGCGCCGCGGCGGGAGCGGGGGCTCCTTCGGGCCCCGGCAGCCCTGCTTCTGCTGCTTCTTCTTGGGCCGGGGCGGCTCCCCTGCAGCCGCCGCCTCTTCCTCCAGGCTGCTCTGCCGCCCCAGCCGCGAGCCCATCGCCGGCCGGGGCTCGGCTCCGCGGGCAGGGCCTGGCCGAGCGGGGTCCCGGCGTGATCGAGGGGTGCCTGTTGGTTTGGGAGGGGGGGGTCTCTTTACATTCCGGCTGCTGCTGCTGCCGGCGCCGCAGTGCCGGGCGGGCGGCGGCGGCGGCGTCTCTCCAGCCCGGCGCGGTCCCTCTGGAGCTCCGGCGCGCTCCCGCCCCGCCCGCGAGATGCGGCTCTCTTTCGGCGGCACGTGCGCGCGGCGGGGAGGGAGCCGAGTCTAAGTGGCGTCCGGCAAGGCGGGCGAGCGGGAGGGAGCTTCTGTTCGGGGCACCCCCTTCCTTCCTTCATTCCCCGCCGGGCTCCGGGCGTTTGCTACCTGCCCGGTCCCCCGCTTGTTCCGTCGGGACTTTGCCTTCTGCTTCTGCCTAGTCTTTTGGAACCCCCTCCTGGCTGGGGAGGGGGGGGGACGTTCCTTTTCCCACCCCCGTTTCTGGATCTGCTTCTCCAGCGCAGATAACGCGCCCTCCCACCCGCCTGAAACCTCGCCAGGCCCCGATCCCAAGGCAGACGATCATCATCGCCCCTTCCTTTTTCCATGCCCGATTTGGGAACTTTTCAGGTAGCAAAACAACAACAACACTGTGTGATGATGGATTTTTTTGGAGCTAGCCGACCTAACCGGAGGAGCCTGCGACCAGAAGGAGGAGGAGTATCAGGAAGAATGGACAAAATTTAACGATTACTTAGCTAAATTTGTTTGTTGTTGTTTAGTCCTTTAGTCGTGTCCGACTCTTCGTGACCCCATGGACCAGAGCACGCCAGGCACTCCTGTCTTCCACTGCCTCCCGCAGTTTGGTCAAACTCATGCTGGTAGCTTCGAGAACACTGTCCAACCATCTCGTTCCTCTGTCGTCCCCTTCTCCTTGTGCCCTCAATCTTTCCCAACATCAGGGTCTTTTCCAGGGAGTCTTCTCTTCTCATGAGGTGGCCAAAGTATTGGAGCCTCAGCTTCACGATCTGTCCTTCCAGTGAGCACTCAGGGCTGATTTCATAGAATCATAGAGTTGGAAGAGACCACAAGGGCCATCGAGTCCAACCCCCTGCCAAGCAGGAAACACCATCAGAGCACTCCTGACATATGGTTGTCAAGCCTCTGCTTAAAGACCTCCAAAGAAGGAGACTCCACCACACTCCTTGGCAGCAAATTCCACTGTCGAACAGCTCTTACTGTCAGGAAGTTCTTCCTAATGTTTAGGTGGAATCTTCTTTCTTGTAGTTTGGATCCATTGCTCCGTGTCCGCTTCTCTGGAGCAGCAGAAAACAACCTTTCTCCCTCCTCTATGTGATTTCCTTCAGAATGGATAGGTTTGATCAGCTTGCAGTCCATGGGACTCTCAAGAGTCTCCTCCAGCACCATAATTCAAAAGTTAAACTAATTGGAAATAGCTTGCAGGCAACAGATTGGCTTAGGAAGTTAAGTGATGTTTGACATGTACAATTTTGAATTGAAAAGATATAAGGATGTTATTGGACTAAGTTAAGTTTATAAGAATTATGATTTGGAAAGCCGTTATAAGGATATGCATGGAAATTCAACCAAGGGGAAGCGAGGAAGTCACTTAACAATGTCAATGTGTAATTTTAATAAGGATATGGTTTATGTTTGTTTGTGTGTGTGTTTTGTTTGTGTATAATTTTGTGAAACTTAATAAAAAAAATTGAAAAACAACAACACTGTGTTAAAGCGAAAGTTAGCGCACCGTTTCCCACATGATCCTGGAGGGCTTCCAGAAGGGGGATTGACGTTGTCAGTCAACAGTCAACTTTCAATATTGGGTCCTCCGCTTCCCCAGAGTAAGGGGCGGGGGAAATGGGCTGGCCTCTTGATACCAAAGTGTGAACTCTGCAAAAGAGGTGTGAGCACTCAGACCCTGATAAATACTTGAGAAGTGAAGATATTTTGCACTTCCTTCTTAATTACAGAATTGTAGAGTTAGAAGGGGTTCCAAGGGTCATCTAGACCAACCCCCTGCAATCCAGGAATCACAACTAAATATACCCTGGCGGATGGCCACCCCATCTCTGTTTAACAGGACATCCAATGAAGGAGAGAGTCAGTCCACTACATTGTGAGGTAGTCTGTTCCTCTGTTAAACAGATCTTACTGTCAGAAAGTCCTTCCTAACGTTTAGTTGGAATCTCCTTTCGTGTAACTTGAATCCGTCGGTTTCGGTCCTACAGTAGGAAACAAGTTTGCTCCATCTTCCATGTGACAGCCCTTTTGATATTAACATCAGAAAAGCCTTCTGGATCAGGCCAAAGGGGTCTATTTCAGCATCCTGCACTCTCCCCTCCAGTGGTTTCCAAGATCAGAAGCATTGCTACCTGTAGCTCCCTCGTAGTACTGAAATGCATTTGCCGTTTTTTTTAGTACCCATTCAGCCAGTTTGGAGAGATGCTTTTCCGGGGATCTTCGCGCCTTTTCTCTTTCACCACCCTGAACGTTTGGGCTTCATTTGCAAACTTGTCCAGCTCATTCCGAACTCCAGGACACTTCTGAACAAGTTATCAAGCACCAGGTCTGCTCCCAACGCAGTTTTGTGGGGGACCCCAACTTCTCAAATCTCTCTATTTTGACAATGGTCCAGCTTTCATTTGCTGCCTAGGGTGCTCTGAGCTCCTCCTCCCAACAACAGTTTTTAGCTTTGAGGCTTTGAAGAAGAAGAAGAAGAAAAAGAAGAAGAAAAGAGCTGGCGGGGAGCAGTCTAAGAAAGCTGAGCTGCCTGCTGAGGCGTCGGCTCCTTTAATCTCAGCACAATGTCCTCTTTCTCTCTGGCAAACAGGGATCTTTAAAGCAGGAGACATTGGGGACTGACCTTGAGACCTTCCACCTGCTAAGGCTAAGCACACACTCTGCTTCTGAGCCCTCTAATTGCACCAAGCCCTGGAGGCCAGAGGGTGTCTCCACATGCTCAAGAAACCTGAGCTGGCTTTGGTTTCCTTCCTGACTGTCTGCTTCTCCCCTGCAGCGCAGACAGGGCTGCAGATCTGCTATTGTTGTGTAGGAGGATCTAGCCAGAAACGCTTACTTCTCCTGTTAGTGGTGCTAGTCCACATGGAACTTGCCTGTGATGCTATCATGAAGCACTTTCAAGGGTTCTGCTGCTGCTAATGCCTTCAATTCAGTGCATGCCCTACAGGTTGTGAATCCACCTCCAGCTGCAAAGAGTCATGAAGCAAAAGAGCTCCCGTTTTTTTTGCTCGGCTGCTGTCTGGCACTACCGGAAGGCGCAGAGGTGTCACCTGTTCTGCAAAAGCAGATCGTGAAGTCGTACTGCCAGTGAAAGGACTGTGGCGTCAGAGGAGGGCTGAGGCGATGGCGCCTGGGCCGTTGGGAGCTCCTGAATATCAGCTTCAGGAAACTGCAGGAAGGCAGAGGGCTGTAGGGCGTGAATCCTGCCTGAAGGTTTCCCTGCCTGATGGCCCCCTTTTTGGGCCTGATCTGGTTTCAGGCTATTCTGTTTTTAGTCAGGTGTGGGTGGGTGGAAAAACACCTTCATATGCCGTGAAAGAGCCGAAGTGTGTCATTCAGGGGGCCGCGTCAGTGATGGGTTGTGGTGGTGGTCAATTTGGAGGGCCATAGGAACCAACTCCAAGAAGAAGAAGAAGAAGAAGAGTTTGCATTTGATATCCCGCTTTATCACTACCCGACGGAGTCTCAAAGCGGCTAACAATCTCCTTTCCCTTCCTCCCCCACAACAAACACTCTGTGAGGTGAGTGGGGCTGAGAGACTTCAGAGAAGTGTGACCAGCCCAAGGTTACCCAGCAGCTGTATGTGGAGGAGCGGAGATGCGAACCCAGTTCCCAGATTACGAATCTACTGCTCTTAACCACTATACCACACTGGCTCTCTTCGCCACCGCCCCAATAAAATATTTGAGGAGAAAGGGGTGGGGTAGGGGGGAAACACCATAGAAAATGGGGTGGGAAGTCAATAGAACAAAGGAAAAAATTACGATGTATTGGAATTTTATGTGAAATTTGGAAATTGACAGGAACTTGCCTCGTGGTTTACTTTTGAAAGAAAAGATGGGGCATTAAGACAGAAAATAAGAATTGGTTGATACTTATCCTCTGATCTGAATAAATGCATAAGCATTAAATGCATAAGCATTAAAGCAATGGTAAAGGGCATCACCCAGCCCTCAATTGCAGCACCCTGAGACCTTTTGTACAGTGGTACCTTGGGTTAAGAACTTAATTTGTTCTGGAGATCCGTTCTTAACTATTCTTAACCTGAAGCACCACTTTAGCTAATGGGGCCTCCCGCTGCTGCCGCACTGCCACCGTGCGATTTCTGTTCTCATCCTGAAGCAAAGTTCCTAACGCGAGGTACTATTTCTGGGTTAGCGGAGTCTGTAACCTGAAGCGTCTGTAACCTGAGGTAAAAGGTAAAGGGACCCCTGACCATTAGGTCCAGTCGTGACTGACTCTGGGGTTGCAGCGCTCTTCTCGCTTTATTGGCTGAGGGAGCCGGCGTACAGCTTCCGGGTCATGTGGCCAGCATGACTAAGCCGCTTCTGGCCTACCAGAGCAGTGCACGGAAACGCCGTTTACCTTCCCGCTGGAGCGGTACCTATTTATCTACTTGCAGTTTGACATGCTGTTGAACTGCTAGGTTGGCAGGAGCAGGGACCGAGCAACGGGAGCTCACCCTGTCGCGGGGATTTGAACTGCCAACCTTCTGATCGGCAAGTCCTAGGCTCTGTGGTTTAACCTACAGCGCCACCCACGTCCCTTTAACCTGAGGTACCACTGTATATAAATAGTAAATAAATAAATTAAATATCAACAGTGGCCACTAGGCTGCAGAGGAAAGGGGTCTGTGAAGCCGGTAGGCGGGGTGTTCTTCCATCAACCTACTTCTGAGTTTTAAGTTGCCTTTAGTTTTTGCTCCTTGGTTTTTTTCCTCTTGGGAGAAAGAAAGGGGTGGGGGTCTGAATATAATTGGT